ACTATACCGGTGGAGCTACTGCTTTGAATGATGAGTCTGAATCCTTCTGCTGATTTATTTCAACAATGTGTTTAGGTTGTTTTTGGTGGAAGGTTCACTCAACTTTATTCATAAATCCCTTAGAGAAGAAAGCTCAGATGCCAACGGTTGGACTTTACTCACAGAAACAACAACAGAAGCAATAAAAATGCAGAAAACTCAATTTGAACAAAGCTTTGAATAGGCTGCAAATCTAATCAATTTTATTGAACCAAACAACTGTTTAAATATAGAAATTGAGAAATAACTGCTGCCCACTAAGCCACTAACCAACAGATCATCTTAAGTTACTGCAACTAATTAAAATGTACTCCTAACTTGCTGCAATTTGCAACGTAAAACGAAAAAACAAGCATAACAATAAAGCACGTGCAGCCTAGACTTTGTCCAGGTCTGCAGCTAAGATTGCTTGCCATTTCATCAACTTCTATACATTCAGCAATTACCGTGGCACATCTGTAACAAAAACATCTGTATATATATATTTTTTATTATATAAAGCATAAACGTGGGAGACTTCAGGATACAATTTTCTGCTACAGGCAATCAATTTGGGTACAAAAACGTATTGTTATGCAAAAACCTTTGTCTCCTCTATACATACATATTAGGGAAATTCTAAAAGAACAAACAATAAAACAAAATGGTATAGCTATTGGATTCATTATTCCATTTGTGTTTATAATGATGAGTTAGTTTGCAATTGGATTTAAATTCATTTCGAAGACAGCGAAACACGCCTCCGGTATTCTGCAAGAGCCCACAGTGGATAGATGTTTCTGTATGCTGCATAATGCAACATGCAGTTTTTCATGAACACACCTGTGATTTCCTGTCATCAATAAGAAGATAATAGGTTGAGGGTCTTTTGAAATAAAAGTTGAAGTGCAGATGTAGCATGAGTCATTCTTGTCTGTCTGTCACGGTACATACCACCCATCAAGAAAGGACTGATAGGAATCGACAGCAGACTGTTCAGAGTCTGGTCATTCTTTTTTTTTTTTTCTTTCCTTTCTTTTTTAGTTGAAGTGGTTTCTGAACATAGGTTAATAATTAGAAAGTTACCTGTTGGGGAAAATCACCATCTTTCAATTGCGAATTGATTATAAGCTTCACTGCTCTGTGAAGAGGTGCAGGGTCTCTATCCATCTATAACAATTGATGGGAAGCAGCTTTTAGTATCAAAAATTCTGAGGCCATTGCCTAGTAAGGCTTTTGTGGTGGCTGGGTTATGAATTACAGAAAATGAAACAACAATGCTGGCTAAAACTACTCATAAACAGCATGCTAACCTGCCCAGCATAAATTAGACCCATCATAGCCCATGCAGTATGTACCAAATTTGATCGATTTCCTTCAAGAGGCACATATTTCTTCTTAGGGCATGAAAGATAGCTCTCTCCCCAGCCTCCATTGTCTTTTTGTATGTCGAGAAGAAAGCTAACCCCTTGGCGCATAGCACTGCAGTTGCTGTAAGTCTTGCCAGCAGCTGCTAGGCCTCCAAGTGCAAACCACGTACCATAAGTGAAGCAAACTCCCCAATTTCCATACCTGTCGAAATATTCTCTTGTTAACAGGTTTTGAGATACTTGCAGAAACAAAATAAACAGAACTTAAATTTCATTAGGGGGACACACCATCCACCATCTGGATTTTGTATGCTTTCGAGGTATCCTACAGCATTTGTTATGAAATTATCTATCTCCTTCTTCCGGTGACCAGGATACAACTTCTTGAACAATATTAAAGCTTGGATTGCTGATGCAGTGCACTCAACATATTCATGCTCAACGACAATGTCAGCGAAAAACTCTGTGGGATTCAGTAGCTGAGACAGATAGAGAATCAAAAACCAGTTGTTCATGATTACAAAAAGTGAATATGATAAACAAAAAAAAAAAAACAAGTATTGAAAATGTTCGAGGACTTACTTCCAACCACTTCTGAGCTCCAGCAGGCTCCCATGCTGCTAAACCTCCATTTTCACTCTGAAAGTTCCAACAACAATTTGTTTTGTGACCCTGGAAAATTATTTATTGAAAGAAAGAAAGTGCATAGATAGTTATGCTTCCTAGTTTAGTTTAGTGCTTACCTGTAGAGAAAGAAGAACATTGACAGAATCAAAAAGGCGCTCAGGCTCCAGTTGCTCACCAACAATTTCTGGTGGCATCATTGAGAAAAGTAGGCAGCACTGCATAGTAGATGCAACTTAGTTTAATTTGGTGAGTAGCATATTGCAATTTGAACAAAATGGCACAGAACATAAGTGACTTTTTAAGTGCTTGAACAAATTAAGCTTGTTACCTTCAATCCTTCTGCGGTACAATCAGAAACTTGCCATCCATGATCTTGGTCAGAGAAAGTCCAAGATCCTTTAGAAATATGCCGGTACATGCTCTTGAAGTCACCAGAAGGATTTTCCTTGACCTTTAAATTCTTAGTTAGGTTTTTTAAATATAAAAAGTAACTAGGAAATTAAGGAACATTACGTGACGATTAGACAAGAGAGAGAGAGGAGAAATCACAAACCTGAGATTTCTTTATGAATTCATGTCCTCTCTTGAGCACGTCTCTGATTTCATCCGTAAAATTACTAGCAAGAAGGGCCTGAATTGCAAAACCAGTGTCCCATTGCTGACTTCCAAAACTCTGCACTCAGATTCCATAGTATTAAGTACATGATACCATCTTTGAGGTCTCTACTCTCTAGTGGCTGGTTAAAGAAAGCAAGCGTTTTAACCTGCATTTTCATTCCATCTTCAGCCACCCATAAATAATCAGGGATCCTAGCAAGATGTTTCTTGAAATAATGGCCATCAGGATCTTCTACCCAGCAAGCAAGCATGCATAACACCTGAAAATCAAGTTCATAAAAGTAATAGAAATTATCAGATAGAGGTAGAAGATTCCAGGACCCTCTCTATGCAGCAGTAAGTTACCTTTTCCACACATCCGATGGTTATGTAACGACTGTTTTCATCTTCATAGTGAATGTGCTTCATGGTTACTTCAAGAGCCTTCTTTCTTACTAACTTGTTGAAGGGCCAACGAGTAAGAAAAGGCTCGGTGAATATATAGAGACTATCCCATATCAGATCTTGAATCAAAGGATGGGGATAGTAGAGATCCTCCTGCACTAACAGGATTGCAGATATCAATTACTTTTTATGTATTGTCTATTTATAGCAACACCATAATAAATTTGCAGGATGGGACAAATTATCAAGTTTAAGGTGAACTCACCACAGCACACAGATGGCATGTTTTCTTCCAATTGATTTGATCATAAGGTTCAGCATAGAGTTCTTCTCTCAACTGTCGAATGAGAGGGGTAATGGGACCAACAAACCTTTTTCCATATAGATATGACATCGGCATGTAAACCATCCGACAATAACACCACATTTTCGCTGCATTGAAGCCAATAAAAACATTAACACAATGGCAACAGAAAGGGAAAATGAACAGATGCTGGTAGGCAGAGATTGCAATCCTGTCCAACACACAAGAAAATGTTACAACCTGGATGCATAGGAAAAAAGAGGGAAGGAGCCAAAATTCTGGGGGCATCGGATTACTTCCAGACCAATCAAATACACCAAGTATCTGCATGCAAATTGGTTTCAGTTACAGCAAACATAAGTTTTATTGATCGTTCTGTATTACATTTGATGAACGGGATGGATCATTACCGATAGCCAAGTCTTCCCCCAAGAGGGTATGTGTGTTGCAGTTCCATGTTCATGAATCCATTTTCGGGCTCTTGCACAAGCACTGTCTTGACCGCCATCAGGTCCTTCTCCGAGAATCCGCATACAAATGTAGCTGAGAACTGTGCAGAACATGGTGCTGTGGCCTTCAAGGTGCAGTCCCCAGCCACCATCTTCATTCTGTATGCATTATTTCCTTAGATGTAACGAGCGTATTACCTCCCAAAAACAAACCTGATAAGATTAGTACCTGGTGATAATAGATGTAACGAAGGATTTCCCTACGATGCTCAGCAGAGAATACAGAATCTAAATGTCCTGTAATGTACAAACACATTACCTGCATTTTTAAGTGAACCAAATTAAGAAATCAATAAGCAAGCTACAACAGGCAGTCATGTTAATTATTGAAAAGGCAAAATATAGTAATAAGATGGTCACCAATGGAGGAAGGAAGAACAAGGGACCAGCATTTTCAGCGGGCCAATGGCCATCAGTAGCCTGTAGAGCTGAAAAGAAGTGGACAGCCCTCTTCAATGCTGTTGTTGCCTTTTCATATGTTATTTCCTCACCCTCTTCAATTTTCACTTCACCTATTGTCTGCTTAAAATTTTTTTCCTTTAAAAACTGCAATTATACATATATATTTTTGGTCAGAAATATATATAAAAAGATCCATATATTAGCTAAAGCAACAAATTTCTATCACACAAAAAACAGCATATCATATATCCTAAATTGTTTGAGAATTACACTTATTATTTATGACTATTATTATTAATTAATTATAGTTACAAATATTTTCGAAAAAGCTAAATTGTAAAATAACCCATGACTCAAATACCCACTTGAACTAAAAAATTCCTGATTTTGCCTCTAAAACAATGTGGGCTGTTGAATTTACCCGCTCTCTTAGGATTTCATTGTGACATTGATGAAAAACCCCTTAAAAATCCTTTCTTTTCTCTGTTAGTAAACACGTTATTCTAAATTGGTAGAGACAATAATAGAAAAAACCAAGATTTTTATAGCTTTTTCCGTCAATTTCTCAATCGAATCCTAACAAACAAATCACGAATTTTTTGTTCGGAAAGGTAACTATATTTCAGTTAAAAATAAAAAAAAATTGAAGGTGGCAAAGGCCAATTTTTGTTTCTCGAATAACTTCGATGAGTGCGATCCACACACATAGGATGTATTTGTCTTAAAAACCATTAGCTACAACTTTTGGAAATGCTAATCCACAAAGCATCATTTTTCCACAAAACAAGACGAAACCAAGAACAAAATATCCTGCAAAGAAATAATAAGCATATAACCAAAAATTAAATGAGCAAATTATACATTAGTCCCTCTAATTTTGAAAACAAATTAATTAGTCTCTTTTTGTTTAAAAAAAAACTAATTATTTAATTTTTTACTAGTATTGACCATAATTGAATATTAACTTATTCTAAAAAATGTATTTTATATCTATTTATTTTTCTTCATTGTTTTTAAAAAATAAATTAAAAAATATAAAATGGATAAAACATTAAATAATTTGTTTTTAAAATAAAGAACACTAATTAATTTGTTTTTTAAAACTAAAAGTACTAATTTATAGTTTTACTCTTTTTTGATATATATAAACAAAGACAGAATAAAAAATAAAATAAAAAACCACCTGCAACTGATATTTATATCCTGATAAAGAGATTTCGAGTTCGAACATCTAATTCATGAATTTTAAAAACAAAAGGCATAAAAGAAGAGGTTTAATGATATGCATACCTGCTTACGCCAGAGGAGGTCACCGCTGGGCTTGACATGATGACGGTTGTTGTAGAAATTGAGACGAGCTTCTTCAACCTCAGCTCTCTCCTCAGGCGTGCCAGCATGAGGATCATACTCCCACGTCTGCCTCCCTACAAACTTATTTGTGCTATATAAGTACTCATCGCCGCCACCCTCTGCGATCTTGAGCCTCCACATAGTGTATTGGTCGCAATGAGATATCTCGAGCTGGTAATCAAAGAGGTAGCTGAGCTATACCTATAATTATTGTCTTGGTTCTTGTGGATGGGAATTGGGTTGGCTGCAAAATAAGCAGAAAGAAAGAAAGAAGGGAGAATTTGTACTGCTTAACGACTGCTTGTTGGGAATAAGAGAAGAGAAGAAAAAGAGACAATATAGCGATCTAATTGTATCTTTGGAAGATGTAACCACTGCTGCTGCTCGTAAGAATTTATATAGATGGGATGGATATTTATTTATAAATATAATATAGAGATGGAGACGTACACAGTTTTCAAGATATCAAGATTCTATGGTGGTGGACGGATTTCAAGTACTGTACTAAATAGAATGGGAAAGTTGGAAGTGACCAGCAGCGACTCTTCCACACTTTTGAAGCAACAAAAAACATAGCTAAAGTTTTTTTCTTTTTCGAATCAGAAAATTAAAGCAGTAGGAAAAAAAATTCGATCTGGTCCCCATTCTCTAATCAATATTTGCAATCAAATCTTTAGTCGGCAAAAAGCTAGATCCCACATACGACAACAGAAAAGAAATTGACTTGTAGTTGAATATAGTTTGAACTCAGGAAATAAAACTTCTTCACCACCCCTGGAACTCTTTCTTTCTCTCAGAGTGATTTTCTTTTCTTTTTGAAGGCTCTTTTTGTCTAGGAGAAAATATCTTTCAATAAAAAAATATATATATAGTTTCAGAGAAGCTATTTTGTATAAATTTATTTTTAAAAAAATATATATTTTAAAGTTTAGTCATTATTAGAAAAAATAAAGATAAATTGTTGCAATATTTATTATAAAAATAATTTTAAGATGTAATAATGATTTTTAAGAATATTTGGGTGTCGTTTGATTATTAGAAATGAAAGGTTCGGAATAAAAATATAAAAAATAAAAAAATAAAAATTAAATAATTGGAATAACATTTATATTCTCATACTATGTTTAGAATACTAATTAAAAATCAAAATACAATTTAAATTTTTTTATATCTGATTTTTTATATAAATAAAAATAATTTTATCGATTATAATGGTTGTAAAAATAATAAAAATGATGTTGATGGTGGTTGTTGTGGTGGTTATGATGGTGGTTATAATGGAGATCTTGAAGGTGGTTGTGGTGGTGATGGTGGAAGTGGTTAATAGAAAATAAATAAATAAAATATATTATTATTTTAAAAAATAAGAAATAATTAAAAATTAATGTGATATATTTTAAATAAAATAAAAGATAAAAAAATATTAAAATATATCAAGAGAGAGATGAGTAACGGAAGAGCGAGACTGCTCGCGAGAAAGAGATAATGTTTTCTTCTTTTTTAGCTCGAAAGTCACTTTCTCAAAAATAATCTATTAATTTTCAATGATTACAAATCAAATTTCATCGATTTTTTTTTCTCTAAACGCAAAATAAATATTGAAAAATAAAAAAAATAATTTCTTAAAATTTATTTTTCCCGAAATAAACACATCCTAAGTAAGAACTAGAGTTACTTAGACCTTAAAACCCATGTCTCTCGGTTACTAATTTAATTACAAAAGGATATTTTTATAGAAAGATACTGATATTAGCACAATCAACCAAAAAAATAACAAGAGATTAAAAAAAAAAAAACACCACTGATTATTAAGGTTGCTGGGAGGCCTGCAGAGAGGATCAAAAATGGATAGATAAAGAAAGGAATATGAATCACAAATTAAACTCTCATTCTTCATCTTAAACTTGTGTGATAGTCTTCATATAATCAGCAGAATTACAGCAACATGAATCGTCTGTCACGTAACACTACAATATATATATATAATGAATCAAACAACTTGCAATATTATTATTATTATTATTATTATTATTATTATTAACCAATCATATATTTTTATTTTTAAATGAAAAGGGATTCACAATTTATGATGGTAGGTTTGGGTGGGCAATAACTGATATAGCTCCAACTCCCAACAAGATTATCATGGGGTAGCTCATTAGATTGAATGGTACATACATGAGATGGGCTGTATGCATCTTGGTATTTTAAGTCTTTTCACTGTTTTGTCAGATATGCAGCATTAAAATAGTTATTTAAAATTTTTTTTATATATACATACAAGAATTTAAATTCAAAACTATTTATTTAAATTATTAGAGCCTCTCTGGTTTAAGTCAATCCTTTTGAATAGTAATTATAAAATTATTATTTGAATACAATAACCAAATGGTAAATATTGTTGTTTCACAGTAAAACCTAATAAATACTCTTCAATAAAAAGATTATCAGTTTTTTTATTTATATTTATTTGATGAACAAATTGGAGTATGAAAAATTGTCATCGCTAGCTACACGATTCAAGCTAATGAAAGAAACAATATTTTTTTTCAGTTAGAATAATAATAATAAATATTATTATTATTATTATTATTATCCTTGAGTAGAATTCAACAAACATTAACGAAATAAAATATTGTCAAATTCATCATCTCCTCACCAGCTGTTCGTCAAATTGTAGATATGTATCCACTAAATGAATCTTGGCTGAAAATATATATATATATATCCTAAACTAAAGCATTCCAAATATTTTTTCCTAAACAATACGATTTTTTAAATTTTTTTCAAGATTTTATTGAGAAATTAACCTTTAAAATCCTTTTAATTCATTTCTTTTCTCTATTATAGTCAATATATTTCTTTAAATTGATTTTAAAAAAATAGTAATTGCAAGGATTTTTATAGTTCTTTTCGTAAATTTCTCAATAAAATTCTAAAGGATGATAAAAATTCAAAAATTCATATTGTTTAAAGAGCAAAATCAAAGATTTTTTAATTCATAAAGCTATTTGTGTTTTTTTCCCCTCAAGTTCGGAGATATTTTTTATATATATAATTTAGCCTAAAATTTAAGTTACTGGAACGTTTTATTATAATTTTACTCCAAATAAATTCTTGGTGAAAATTATTATTTGAATTCATCCATGCATGGTAAATGGGTCTTTATCTTTTGTTTTAGGTCAATAAAAAGCAGCTTTTAATTAAGTTGCTATAAGTTTGGCCAAATAGAGGAAAATTAGTTATGCATGATCCTATCCTATCCTACAAATGCATGCATGATCTACTTCTTTCCTAAAGAAACACAATTTATTGTGGGGCAAGTTTTTTAATTTTCGTTTCAATTACCAAGTAGAGGAAGAAGCCAAAAAGGCTTTGATGGAGCCTTCCTTACTCCACCTTGAATTCATCCATGGGAGTAGGTGGTGCATATCTCACTAACTATATGCATAAATATTTAGTTAAATTACATTAATTAATTACCTTCCATTATTAATTATAATAAAATTAAACAAAATCATTAAAAAAATATGAAGATTAAACTCTTTTTATATATTTTTTTAAAAAAACTGTTTTGTATTCAAAATGTTCTTAATATTTTTAAAATTTCCCATTTAACATAAAAAGAATATTTTGGATGCAGGTTTTTGGAATATTTTCATACTTCTAAATGGTTTCTATAAATATTTCATGATATTCAAAGTAATTATTGTAATTTATCTTAATTTTTTATTATAAAAATAATATTTGAACTCGAAACCCTTTAAAAGAAGATGAAATACTAATACCAATTTTTCTTTTTAAAAAAAAAAAGTGAACAATAGTCTAACAATCTATGTTCCAAGCACAAAACGAGTGGGGAATAGTATACTACGCAAGAAAACTCTTGGTGCATGAATCCCAAATTGTGCCAATACAAGGAATGTATAAAGTTTTAGTCTTGATGAAAAATGATTAGCTTTTTGTGGTAAAGAATAAGATATTAGGGAGGCTACCTACCTGTCGTATTGGTTTGGCACTTTGGAGATAGACATCAACATATTTTCATATGTGATTAGTTGTAGTAAATGCCTTTTTTATATATTTTCATGTGTGATTAATTGTAGTAAATGCCTTTTATATATATATATATCTTTTAAGATATTTTAGATCTAAAAATTCAAACTAATCCTTTAATGTTCTGTCAAATACACAAAATGAAAATAACTACACAGAGAACTTTTTATATACGTAAACTTAAATCTAAAATCATTTTGTTTAAATCATTAAAACTTCTTCCACCCAAATCAATTTTATTGAGTTAACTGTACTAAAAGCTGATGTTGTGTTATATATATATATTTGATAGTCATCGTTAATGTGTGGACCCAAAAAAAATGCTTTATTTTTGTCCTATTTTGCCTCTTGAAAAATATTCATTGGACAACATTAGCTGACTAGAGGGGACTTGTCTGAGTCTTGTTTACGTCAACGCTTCTTGTACATCCATGGCAAACTGCCAAACCCTAAACCTTCCAAAAGACCCAAAAAGAAAAAAAAATTATTAAAATGAAGATCAAATTACTTAGTTTCAACATTTGAAGCTAATTAGGTAATGAAGTGTAAATTACTGGCCTTTCATTAATGGAGGCAGGTTGGTAACGTGATATTTTATTTATTTATTTAGGGATACTCCTTACCATCAAATGAAAAAATAAAAATAATTGATCCATAAGACTTAATGCATCATTTTCATCATTCAAGTTTTATCATCAAGATAAAACTTGAATCAAAACCTCTGATATCGTTTCTTAATCACTTAATTGTGGAGTAATTATAAATTAGTCTATTTAGTTTCAAGAAACGAATTAATTAGTCTTTGTTTTAAAAATTAATTAATTAATTTTTATGTTTTTAAATCGATTTGTAACTTAATTCTTTTCATTTTTTTCATTTTTTGTTTTTGTTTTTGTTTTTGTTTTTGTTTTTTTTTTTTTTTGAGAAATGGAAAGAAAAAAGTAAAAAATAGGAAAGACAGCTGAGAAAAAAAACATTTTATGAACTAAAATAATATTAAATTAAGTATGATCAATATTAATTAAAAAAACTAATATAATTAGTTTTTGATACAAATGAGACTAATTAATTTCTTTTTCAAAACTAGAGGGACAAATTTATAATTAATTCCTTAATTGTGCCTTAAATTGCCATACCCCTAATAATTTGAAGGTAGTTTTTTCCATGAAAAAAAGAGAGCTTAAACGATGTCGTTTAAACATTCTCATTAATGATCAACGTTTCAATCATCAAATATAATATTTGCCCCAAGAATAATAATTTGAGGTCCAAATAACTTAAAATGATAGTAAAAACCTTAAATTCTATAATCCAACGAGTTTAGAGGTAAGTTTTACTTGTTATTATTTTTTTATAAGATAAAATAATATTAAATTAAATAAGATGAATACTAGTCAAAAAACTAAATAATTAGGTTTTTGAAATAAAGAAGATTAATTCATTTATTTTTCAAAACTAAAGGGACTAATTTACAATTAACTCCTTACTTGTGCCTAGTGGTGGAAGTAGGCCAAGGTACTGTTTTGCCCTAACATAAACCAAACACCATTCAATCACATACATAATTTGGTGAAAGAGCAAAGACGATGATGAAATTTACCTAGTCCCTTCCCTGTTCCTTTCTTATATATAACTTCAACAACGTCTCTTTGACTTAAAAGAGTCAAGAGATTTTCCATCAATTGGTCCTAATTCCACGCTGTTGTCATGTTCTTTGGTTGCTTCCTTCTTCACACCTTAACATTTGAAATTGAAAGAACAGAAAGGATTAAGTCATAAGAAAATTTAAACTATAAAAATTAAATAATTAGTTTTTAAAGCAAGATGAAATAATTAATTGGTTTCTTAAAACTTCAAGAAACCTTTTAATAAAACTTGAATCCAAAACATTTGACATTCCATCTTACTTGTGCCTAGAGATGGAAATATATAGGCAATGCTCCTGGTTTGCCCTACCATTAACCAAACACCATTGAATTGCATAAATAATTTGGTGAGTGAGCAAAAAAAAAAAAAAACATGATGAAGCTTGCCTACCCCCTTCCCTTCCTATCTTGTAACTTCTAACAATTTCTTTTTGACTTAAAAGTGTCGTGCATGAGATGTTCCCTCAATTGGTCCAAGTTTCACACCATTATTATATCCCCTTGCTTCCTTCTTCACACATATATATTAATAGTTGAAATTGACATAAAATTCCCACTTTTTAAATATGATTTATGACTGCTAAATCACGCAATTGTGACTATATATATATATATATATATAAAATGAGAGATAAAATTGACTTGCCAAGTTAGAGTTCAAATGGATTGAGACAATTGAGCACTAATTTTAAAATCAAGTATTTCTTGGTAATGTCTTTGAGTTGGGTCTAAGCTAACTTTTGGCATATGTATATATGAATGAAAATTTGTAAAGCAAACCCAAAAGCAAGAAAGAAAGGGAAAGGTCATTCTCTATCAATTTGGTAGAAGATTCGATCTCCACCAAAAAAAAACTTTATTTGCATTCATACTTTAGAAGAAAGACAGACAAATTGACGTTGGTAGCTAGGTAGGAGGATGAGATTTACGTAGTTTTGTTGGTTGTTGAGCACTTCATCTCACTAAATTTCTAACCAATTGTTTAAACTTGCAAGCTATGTAAAAAGACTTTGCTATTAAATAACAAAAAAGAAATTAGTACTTTTTATACATTCTCTGGTCAGAAGGGAGACTTAATAAATTAAGTAAATTGACTATAATAATATGCTTATGTAAGCATATAATTTATTGATTAATTAAAAGAAGCAATCATGATAGTACGTAGCTTTTAGGGTTTAATGCTTGTAGTGAAATTTCTTGTAGTTTAGAGACTTTATTTTCCTCAGGGCTGAATGCATTAGATTGGTATGAAAGATATACTCTTAGGATAGTTTAGAAAAAAAATTTAGTTTCGATTCATGTACAAACGGGACTTGAAAATATCATTAACATCAAATAAATAGAGAGAATTTTTGTTAATTTAAGGCTAAATGATCCAAACTTTTCTGAATTTTAAATTATTTGAGCATCGGCCTCTCAATTTTTAATTTTGGATCGAATCTTTTCTCCAATTATCTTTTATTTAAAATTAGTTTATTTCATTATGTCTTTATCAATTTTAATAGTAAAACTATACGTGATTTATATATAGTTTTAAAATATATCAAAACTTATGAATGAATGAATAGCTAAATGCTTGTAGTGAAATTTCTTGTAGTTTAGAGACTTTATTCCTTAGGGCTGAATGCATTAGGTTGGAATGAAAGATATACTCTTAAGATAGTTTAGAAAAAAAATTTAGTTTCGATTTATGTACAAACGGGACTTGAAAGTACCTTTAACATCAAATAAATAGAGAGAATTTTTGTTAATTTAAGGCTGAATAGTTCAAATTTTTTCTGAATTTTAAATCATTTGAGCATCCACCTCTCAATTTTTAATTTTGGATTGGACCTTTTCTTCAATTATCTTTTATTTAAATTTGATTTATTTTATTATGTCTTTATCAAATTTAATCGTGATTTATATATAGTTTTAAAATATATCAAAACTTATGAATGAATGCTTTGTTTTTTTTTTCCAAATTTTTTTTTTAATCGACGAAAACTTCACGAAAAAATGAAAAATAGTTAAAAGGAAATCTAACCGCAAATTAAAAATTAAAAAATTGAATGATCAAATATCTTAAAGTTCAGGTGTAGTGTTAATTTAAATTATGTGGTTCAAAAAAACAAGGGCCATAAGCCATATTTGAGGCAACTTATAACAGGTCCAGACCCTTATCTAGTTTAAGGGCTTGGTGATTTCTTATGGGCCAGTCCAGACCCTTGACTACAACCTAGAAAGTGAAAGTTTGGTCATACAACAATGACAAGCAATATGCAGATCACCTCACTTAGGGAAGTTGAATCTCTCCATAAAATCTTTCATCCAAGAAGAAGAAGAAGAAGAAGAAGAAGAAAGGAAGAAAATCTGTTTAAGAAAAGAAAGAATATAAACAATCTTTACAAAGTTAACAACTGAGATATGAATTAAGCAAGAGGCAGAAGCAAACAAAAAGAAATGAGTCTTTGTTCTATAATAAACTTGAAAGAACACAGCTTGCACTAGTAATCGGAATCATCCATCTGACTAGAAACTGCAAGATCGTCTCTCAAGTTCATACTCGATCGCTGAACTAATCGCACCAATGCTTGCACTACCTCTGACATAGGCGGCCGGAATTCAGGCTCGGCCTGATAGATAACACAGACAAAAAATATTACTTCTCTTTGAAGAAATCACCAAGGTTTGATAGCAGTAAAGCACAAAAACCATCCTGCACCAACATTTTGTTGGCCGTTCTTACCTGTGCACAGAGGGCAATGATGTCGGCAAATCGAGAGACCGACTTCGGAGGGTATAGCCCACGCAATGCAGGGTCCACCATTTTTGCCAATGCATCAATGTCATGCAGCTGCGGGGTGGCCCATCGGACCAGACATTGTTCGGTTTTGGGTTTTGAACTGCAAGGAAGCGAAGGATTTGACAAGTTGATTAGGGTAAGGTTTGGACCATGGAGATTACAAGCAAATGGTGAATAAAAAGATTGAAGCAGCAGTGTAACCATATATACCTGTCAAAAGGCATCCGACCAGTCAATAACTCCAGCATCACCACTCCAAAGCTGTAAACATCACTCTTCATTGTATAAGCTGAAGGCTTAGTGCACTCTGGAGCATTGTATCCTGCACCAAGGTTTTGGCTCGTCCGCTGAAAAAGAAAACCATCAGAATGATCAGCGTAAGTGCTTTTGAAATCGCATTTCCAAACTGTTCTTGCAGCAAGGACTATAAGGAGATCTTTGATGTCTCAAGAAGTACTAACATGATGGAAGTTTGCCAGGCCGTAGTCACAAAGTCGTGGATTGAGGTCAAGGTCCAGCAAAATGTTAGATGACTTGATGTTCTTGTGGATGAAGGATGGAGAACAAATTTCATGGAGGTACCTGCCCAAAGAATCGATATGTTCAGGAGAAAAAGAAAACAGGTATAAGGGGATTCATTCTGCAGCCTTACCCTAACAATTTAAGCATTTAGCCAGCAGGTAATAGAGGTGCAAAAGCATGTGTTTGTAGTGACTTACTCGACAGCTCGAGCCGTGCCCAAAGCTATTCGAACTCTGGTGTTCCAAGTTAGTGGTTTGCTATATTCATCTGACACATGCAGGAAATCATGAAGTGAGCCATTCCTGAAATACTCGTAGATCAACATGTTATGCCCTTGTTCTGAACAATAGCCGACAAGCTCAGCAATGTTCTGATGGTGAACTTTCGAGATGCTTGTAACAATTTCTGAAAAATCTTGCTTTGCGCCATGGAAAAGTGATGAATCAATCTTTTTGACAGCTAAAACCTGACGAGCAAAACATAAATTATGTTGCTAGAATGCAATATCCAACTTCTCATTGCAAATTATTGTGTCTGATTCTGTTAAAATCCAGTAATAATGTAGCACAAAAAAGAAATGAGGTGCCAAATTCGACAACCAACAAGGGATCAAGTATTAGGTAGTGCCAGAAAACAAAATGGAAAAGAAAATATGAAATGACTAAACATACCTTCCCGTCAGGATATTTGGCCCTGTAAACACGACCAATGGATCCCTCACCGATAAGTCGGCCCGATGCAAAATTTCCTGTAGCCGTCTGCAAATCTGACAACGAAAACGCTACGGCACAAACAGAGGTGTTTCTTCCAGCATTCAGACGGCTTGCAAACTCATTGTCATTTATAGACTCAGAAAAGACAGAAGGTGGAGGCTTGTAACCCATGGAAGGAGCTTTTTGCAATGTCTTTATATCCATCGGACCAGACAGATTGAATGATTCAGTTTCTGTCACCAGTAAATCATATTATTAAGTCCACAACAACGTGCATCAGAATGCACAGTTTTGGCACAGGAAAACATTAAACAGTAACATAAAGGTGCGAACACAACATAAAATATTTATAACAACGATTTTAGCAAAGTTCTACGGATAAAATTATGCAGGAAGTCAAAACAACTACCCTTTAAATCTTTCTTTATGGAAGCTAGAGTGTCATGGGATAGTTCATGTGATGAAAGGGGAGTAAATGCTGTATGCTGGCTAGCTTTCTCTTCATCAAGAAAATTTGAAGATGGGGAGGACCTCGTATTTGAAAGTAGTATAATGAGAAGTACAACTACAACCAGTGCAGCCAAAACCATTAAAGCTATAGCAAGTCCATTCATGCTACCCTTTTCGCTTCCCTTATTATGGGCTGAACCAGATTTACCACGAGGAGCAGGACCAGATGACCATGCATTACCGCCGGTTCTTCAGAAAATACGATCAATAAGTCAGAGAAGCAACATCTTACAGCCCACATCCTAAAAAAAAAGGCAGATTCAGAGGATTCTTACTCCAGGTTATCGATGCCCTCCAACGAATCGGGGACCCAGCCAGTGAACTCGTTGTTCTTAATATTCCTGCCAGAGGAAGAGTGGATTCATGTTGTGAGTCCTTTGATGTATTGTTCACTAACATCAACTGCTTTATTAAAGTTTGAAACCATCATTTTTATCTATGAATCAAGGTAACTGCTGTTTAATTGAAGTATGAAGAAGTTTGCTTTTGAACTTTCGACAACAATATTATCCTCATCACCTAAACTAGAAAACTAGAAAACTAGAGCTGTTTAACTGAAGCATGCAGAAGGTTACTTACAAATCTTTAAGGGGAAGTCTGGCGAGGACATCTATGGTACCGGTGAATTCGTTGTCTTGCAAATGCCTGCACAAAGACATAAGCAATCACCAAAACGGACTAAAAGGACCTAAATGAAGATTTTATCACCACTTCTTACAATGTGCTGAGGCTTGAAAGTGCAGAAAAACTTTGAGGCAGATTCCCTGAGATCGAGTTGTGGGATAGATCCCTGTAAGTCATCTCCATGAGTGAACCATAAATTTTGTTGTAAAAAACACAGGAGTTCTGTTTTATCGTTCCAGTTAGTATTACTTACAGAGTTTTAAGTTTAGAGAGTTTTTGAAACATATCAGTCAACTGTCCATTGAGTTGATTATGATTAAGATTCCTGGAAGAAGAAGCATCAAAAGAATGAGGATTCAGAAGAACTGGAAGGTTTTGTAACTAAAGAATCAAGTTTTGCTTACAGGTTTTGAAGTTTAGTCATCTGTGAAATTGAGTAGGGCACAGTTCCAGTGAAGCCATTATTAGAAAGATCTCTGCACATTAAACTTACAAGATTAATATCAAACACAATTAAATTCATGAATCAGTCCAGCGAAAAAGGCGAGCTAGGGCAAAGAACAAAGGCCTGTTTGATCACAACGTATAATAACTTGTTCTATCCTGTTCCAGATTAATGTGTTGGTTTCTTCTATGTTAACAAAAGGAAATGTTAGTAGACTTACAAGGTAGCTGCATTAGGAGGAAGCTGGTATGGTATATCATTCTTGAGGTTGTTCTTGCTCACATCGCTGTACTATGACAAAGAAATACAGAAAGCCTTGAGGTTAGGTTCCTTCATCAGAAAAGACTAATGTTAAAAAAAAAGTGCTATGGTTCAGAAACTGGTCCTCACAAGTAGGTGACAGATTTCAAGTTTGATAGCTGATAGCCCAGTGATCCAGTAAGTTCAAGTCCAGATAACTTTCTGCAAGAGCATTCAGATATTTGAGGGTTATTCCTTCTAAATATGTGAAATGTAAAATCTCTTGATCAGAAATATTAAGGTAAGCCAATCTAACTACATTTGAGTCACAGATGAGCCTGAGCATTCGATCCCTTCCCAAGACTCTCCACAAGGGTCTCCACCGCTTGATTTCCATCCACTCAGTTTTGAAGGAGAATTTAAGCTCGTAAACATTACGTTCAAAGCCGAAACTGAAATCACAATACAGGAAAGGAAACATCAGAGTCATGAAATGCAATTAACTAGATATGACTACCCATTTATTTCATAAAGAGAACAATATTGATCTGAATGAGCCTAATAAATCAAACTTTAGAATGTAACTTATTATCCAAGTACATAGATTCTCGAGAAAATTATGATCACAAAAGAAGGGTTCTGGGTTTTAGTATCATCCTCGAATTATTATCCATTGGAAAACATTGAAATGAACTTTTCAGCATAGTTATTTTCTTCTTGAATGCGTTTGTCTACACATGCATGACCAAATAGTTGCAAATATGCCTTGATGGATCCAATCTAGAAAAAATAAGAACACCCCAACAAAAGTTTTTTGCATTTAAAGAGACTAGCTTATATCATAGATCATAGACCACCTTTGAGTTTGCTATAGTGAAGGGGAGTCTTCCATTCTATCCTATTCATCGGTACTGATCACACAGATAGTGGAAAAATTCTTTCTTTTCTTTTGTCCCAACCCACAATCTGAAATCTGAACAAGTTGTACATACATCCTAGTACGTATCCCTCAGAACAGGGAGTCTTCCATTCTATCCTATTCATCGGTACCGATCACACAGATAGTGGAAAAATTCTTTCTTTTCTTTTGTCCCAACCCACAATCTGAAATCTGAACAAGTTGTACATACATCCTAGTACATATCCCTCAGAACAGGGGATTTGGTGACATTTTTTTATTGGCAATCTTGTGTTTCTAATAAGTTGTTTAACAGTTGGAATGTTGAATCATATGCATAATGGCCTAGTTTAGATCCATCCTAACCGGATGATTGTGAATTCTTTCTATATTCACATCCTATTTTAATATTTTATAAAAATTCAAGTTAATATAATATTAATCCCTACATATACACACATACGTTCCTAAACAGCATTACCTCATGCAACAATTACCATGAGAATCAAAACAAAATGCAAAGTAAAATGAATTAAAATTTCATTGCATGGAGAAATGGGGTGTGCATACCATCTTCAGAACTAGTCTTTGAATGGACCAAGGTGGTCAGGATTCCGAGAGAGACAATCAAGAACCCTACAACACTATGGTACATTCTCCTGCACCAAAATGGAGCAGAAGAAACGAGTAATGTAGGCTTCGTTATGCTTATAAGAGCAACAAAATATTGAAGCTTTCAAGAGAATGGTGATGAATGACGTCTCAGAATTCAGACATGAACTGCAGGAACATGCGAGTTCTTTTGTTTCTTGTGTTGTCTTTGTTTAGGAATTTGCTATTCCGAGGGGCGAAAAAGTGACTATATTTGAAAGAAGACAGCTAAAAAAGACTGGAAGCGGATGATTAGGAGAAATGAGAGTTTGCCAATGTTTTCCGGGATTGCAACTTATTACCAACTAATAAAGCCTTCTTTTACTGTCTCCCCACCTTCGTTTCTTAACCGTTTTTAAGCCTTTTTTTCATAATCCTTTTAAGCCATTTTTTCATAATCCTTCTTTGTTTCTCCTATGTATTCTCAGACAAACTTATGAGACTATACATACATAACGGTAAGGGCATGTTCGAACTAGCAATCGTAGGTCAAAGATAAAGTTTGGCAATAGGCATCGCTCTCTATTTCGTTTCTATTTGTGAATTCTCGGTAAGAGTATGTTTGGACTAGCAATCCTAAGCCAAAGACAAAGTTTGGCTGAAGGCATCATTCTCTATTTCATTTATATCAATATATTATTCCTGAATTCAAAATATGGTAATAAATATACTGGAGTAATTACTGAATATATATAGGAAATTATTTGAAATTGGAAAATCACAAGGAGAAAATGTCTCCTCTGAATAATTATTCCCCAATTTGGCAGATTACCATATTAACGTTCCTTATGATGATCTTATATCGGTTCCACCCTTTTCAAGCCTATTTTGGATCCTTAATCACTGCAAGGAAAAATCTTCAGTAATGTGACGGCAGCCTTGAATTGAATTGAATTGAATTTTAGGTCACAACAAATCAAGGCAAATAGAAAACGAAAAGGGTCCATTAAATTCCAGCTTCAAGAGGATAGAAGATTGAGAGCTCTCTTAAATTTCAGCTTTCCAAACTTTCTAGTGTTGGCTCAATCTTCACATTTCGGTGTTGGCTCCTGGCTTCCTGAAGATGGCTTGATAATTACATGAGTAGAAAATGGCAATAAGAATAATTACGTTGCAATTTTTCTATACAATTAGGCATTTATGGAACAAAACTACTTGCAGGGATGAGAAAGAAATTCAGCTTCCTCCCAGACACACAGACATTTATATGCACTCTTTAAAAGGTATACAGGTCAGATTCCATGCTCAAGTTAATAAAATTTACGATAAGCTTTATGAGAGGTCCACCGGCATTAGTCTTGGTCTTGGTCATACAAAGCCATCATGTACCTCATCCTTCCCTTCCTTGGTTTGACGACGCATCATGTTTTCTCAGCTTTGTCAGGATATATGCCATGCCAACTTTAGCACCAAGGCTAGAGTGCCCGCGCGTCAGGCAGATGATACCCCCTAGAATAAGCAGACCATTTGCTACAATTTTCTTGGTTGGCCTTCTTCGGAGTTTCTTCTCTTTGGCTTCACCGGTGACTAATCCCTGTGGGGCAGCTGATGTCACAGTAGCCTGAGTATCAGCGTGACTATTCATTGTTTCCAGTTCAGATGGAACCTGTGCCACAAGAGGGAACACATTTGTGATGATCTCAATATCATAGAGCAAGTAATTTTACCTCCTCACTAACATGTAGCAGTTTAATGACCTACCAAAGGTTTTGGAAACTCTCAGTCAATAAAACTTAATAATTGTATACTACGTGTGATGTTATAAAGGAAACCTTGATTGATTGGCTGTGCTAAGTCACAAATATGTTCTTAAAAGCATCAGTATTTCAAGATGCTGGTCCTCACCTTCTGCATCAGAGATACTGCAGTAACAGCTGGACCTGTCTGAGGATCCCTCATCATAGGGTATTTGCGTAGTGCATCGTTCATCTTGCGTACATAGCTCCATATGCCCTTCGAGAAAGCCAGCTTTGCCATCTCCACATTCAAACCAGCATCTTCTTGGTGAAACATTTTGATCTCACAGGCATTTCTACCAGGGACTGTAAGATAAATTGATTGGAATTACAAAATAATCAGTCCAAAAGTAAACTATTTCCATTAAGGAGGAATCAAAACATCAAGTAAATAAAAGATCCAAAAGTAAGCTGCTTTCATTTAGAAAGAACTAAAAGATCAGGTAAATTGAAAATCATGCACATAGCCTCCTAAAACACAGACCAGATGATGAATCTTTTCGGTACCAAATAAAAAATAAAAAATAAAAGATCAATATGCTGCATAAGTAAAGCTTCAGAAGCATAAAAAATCATTCATTTCTCACTAAACGGAGAATAATACAAACTCCAGCAGCAAATATAACAAGCATAATCCATGAGATCACTCAAACTGAGTCTACACTATATGCTTCTTGCTGGAAGAAAAACATGCAATTTCTCTAAAATACTAAATTCCAAACAACTATGTGAACAAATGCCCAAAATCACTGTCAGAAAAGCTCAATATGAGACGTTTTGTGCTTCCTTTTCCTTTTTATTTATTTATTTATTTTGGTGCTGTTTGTCAATACTGCAATGTCAGAAAGAAACGATTTATCTAAAATACAGAATCCAAAAAAACATAGAAATGAAGGCCGAAAAATGATGTCGAAAAGCTCAATATGAGACACTATGCTCTTTTTTTTTTTGTTCATATAGCAATGACAATAAAATACTGCAAAAAGGCAGGTCAAGAACTTGCCTTTACTGATTCTCCAACCAGATCTAAAGACCTTCACTCGTACAAACTTTCTCTGACTTGTAACTAAAGGATGTTCACACTCCTAATCACGGTCATCAACCATCAAAATAAAAAATACGAATTAGACAATCAAGCTAAAAATAGAGTGAAGAGAACTAAATCACCAAATAGCATATTATTGATGGCCATAAAATGCTTTCCCCAGACACTATGGCAGAATAGTTATACAAAATCGAAAGGTAATTCTTGCATTACAAAGATTGAAAAGCTTAATCATTTGAGCTGGCCAGCAACTAACTACCATTCACCATCGAAAAGCTACTATGAAATTGTTATCTTTTACGATAAACGAGTATTGCTCATCCGTTATTTTTCCCACCAGCTTCAATTCTTGATAAATACATATAATCAAAATAAATTATTTTAGCATGCCCATGCAGGTAAAGATATTGCCGAATAAATATTGTTCGCTAGAAGCAACTAAGTTATGCTTTCAAACTGATTGCAGTAGATGATTACCTTAATAAAGCAGTAGAATGTTTTATCTTTTCCTTCCCACAATCTCCATCCTAAAATGTATTCCCTTCGCGTCAAGAATGGGAATTTCTTTATTGTGCGACCAATTTCAATTCCACTAGTTCTATCCACCTGCAGTTGCTCATGCTCAACTATGGTGTTATCCCACTTCTTTCTGTAGTCACTGTCCATGTAGAAGTCCCTAAGCATCTCTGTGGTACAATTTTCAAACACAGTCACACTCACGTACTTTATTGGAGCATCCTGCATACATGCAACCAGAAAACACCATGATATTACATTAATTCTCTGTAATACCATTCTCCACCAATAAAAACAAATCCCAATTCAAGAGATATCAATAGGCTAGCCTTTCTACCCCAGGTAATGGATTCAACAAACCAAAAGAAGCAAACTTGAGCGAAAACGCAAACAGTACAACATTAATAGTGGAAGGCAACTAACCTTAGGTTTGAAACATTTGGCAGTATAGGCTAGAAGATTGTTTCTCTTATTTATAACATTTTCCCATTTCTCAGTTAGCTTCTCATCCAAATTGTCAATCAAAAACTTCAAATCAGCTTCTGAAACAATCTCTGAAATTCTGCATAAACAGTAGAAAAAAATAGAACTTGGATATCGGTGACAAAAAAGTCACCCAAGATTGAAACTTTGATTCATTTATACCAACCCCAATTCAATTTAAACACCAGACTAATGACGAAGGAACCAAAAGACAGCGTTCCCATATAAGAAAACGAGCGAACAAGGTTTCATTTTGATCTTAAAAAAAGAGACCAAACTAAATAAGAAAAGCAAGTACCTGGAATTAGAGGAGGCAATATCAGTAGTAGAGGCAGCAGGAGAAGAAACGAGATGCCGTTTAGGAGGAGGAGGAGGATAAGAAGAAGAAGAAGACAAGAGTCTGAAGAGTCTTTTGGAGAAGTGGAAAATGAGAATGACAAGAACAGAAAAGAGAGCAGCCCATCCATAGCCAAAATTCATTCTTTCATTTTGAAACCAAAAATCCATTGAAGAATTTGAAGAAGAAGAATATAGTGATGATCCACTGAAACCAAACAAACCCATCTTCCTTTTGCAAATCTAAATCAAACCCATCAATTTTATTTTTTTCGGCTTATAGAAGAAGAGAAGGTATGGGGATGGGGTTGATTGGGATTACCGCCGTTGTTTCGGCCATTAATGAAGTTCACAGCTGTGCTTTGCTTTGATTTGCCTTCGCGTTTTTGTCATCGCACAATATTTAAATGAGTAAAAAAAGAAAAAGTCCTACTGGTCACAAATAACGAATTAATTAGTCTCTTTTATTTTTAGTCCCTTTAGTTTTTAAATTTTCTTATTGCTTAATCCTTTTTGTTTTTTTTTCAATTTATTTTGATTTTTTGTTTTAAAAAATAAAAAATAATATATATAAATATTAATAAGAAAATATGATATCTTTAAAATTAAATCAAATTAAATTAAGCCTGATTTAAATTTGTTAAGAGACTAAAAAATTAGTTTTTTCAAAGAAAAAAACTAATTAATTCGCTTTAAAAAAATAAAAGAACTAATTTATAATTTACTCCATATTTATAATTATTCTTTAGTCTCTCACTAGATGAAATTAAAAGTAAAAGTAAAAGATAAAATTAAAAAATAAACTATGTTGTATGTCAACTAAAGCATATTAAATTAAAAGTAAAAGATAAAATTTCATCTAATTTAATAATTTTTAATTAAAATTTTCTATCTCATCTATTCTATTTTTTTTTTAATTTTTTTTTTTTAAAATACAATTTGTTCTTTGTTATATTTATTTTTAAATAAAAATTTGTAATAAGGTAAATAAAAAATCTAATACGAAAGTTTAAAAAACATCTTAATGTTTTTTTCATAATATTATATTCGAAGAAATAAAGCAACGATCAATATAAAAACTTATATGCAAATTAACTAATGAATCTTTTTTAACTTTTTAAAAATATGTGCATTTGATTTATTATATTTATTTACAAATAATCAATAATATTAGAATAAAAAAATGTATTTGAATTATTAGGTGGTTCTTCTAAAATATTATTTCACTTAATTTATTTTAAAAAAATAAATTTAGAATATTAAAAAAATTAATAATAAATAGTTGGGGTTATGTATGTAGATACATACTTTATTTTTAATAAAATCAATGATATATATATATATCATGACCATACTCAATGGATCGAGTATGCAATATAAATTATAAAATATTTTTTTAAAAAAAAACTTAAGTTGTAAAGAATATATTGAAGTTGACAAAGTGCAACAAAAACAACTAAAAAATGTATTCCGATGGAATTTGATTACATCAAGAATAAATAAATAAAATACGTGAATTCTATTATCTAATTGATAATTTATTTTAAAATTTTATTCAAAAATTCATGTATAGAGAAAATAAATCATATTTATTAATAAAGAAAATTACATATAACAGAAAAATAAGAAATTAATTTAATAAAAATTTTCATAAGAAATGACAAATTGAGGAGATTAATTTTAAATAATAAGAATAATATAATTCGATATATATATATATACATATTAAAATCGAAAAACACTTGGAGGTTAAAAATATCTTTTAGAAACGCTATATCTTTTGAAATACTAAAAAACCAAAATAGAATAAAGTGAAAACATGAGATTGTCAAAAATATATTTAAAAAACAAGGAACCAAAAATATCTTTTAGAAACATAAAGGACAAAAATAAAATACAATGTAAAATTTGTATATGAATGCCTAAAATAAGCTAAGAAATCAAGAAAATACCACCAAAAAATAACCAAAGTTGCCACCCAATGAATGAATTACTATTGATTTTCTCCATCTTTTTTAGATGTTTTTGTTAATTTCTAAAAAAAAAATAATAAATTAGTCCTTATTTTCTTGACTCTTGTTCATTGATATCTTTTTTTAAGAAAAAAATTGATCTGTTCTTCTTAAAACTCTCACTATTTAGGCTTTTCTATAAGAATCTAAATCATCAAATGGCACATTTTGGAATAAGAAAAATCCAAATAATGTCTTAAAAAGCCCACGGTCAAGAAGAGTTGAGGGACTAATCTATATGTTTTCAAACATAAAAGATTAATTTGTTAAACATTTCAAAGCCAGAGGACTAAATAAACATTTACAACTTTTCTGCATCGTTTCCTACTAGTGGTTGTCAGTTGTTGAGGCAATTTTCTTAATATGAAAAATATGTGAGATTTTTTTCAATTTTGGATGATCCACCAAAGTTTATTTTATCGTGCAATTTTGAGAACAAGTTTAAGCAGATATTGAGAAAAAATGGATTAAGTCTCTCGCTGTTAACTTTTGTGAAGAATCTGAATGGGATGTGTCATGTCAGGATCACTAGAACAGGAATATCCACTCAATCCACTCCTTTCTCCTAATCATGCCAACTCAATTATATTAGCAGTAGAAAGATGTCATTCTCATGTTCAAGGATAAGAGGATATGCACAAGCTACAATCTCACACAGTCTCTCCCTTCTAGCCTCAGAGCACTGCCAGCAATTTCCACCCTCTCCAATTGTCCAGCAACAGCTAATTATTGGTGACAGGGACAGCCAACCACTCTCAGGTGGGGCAAAGGCAACCCTCATCCTGGACTTTAAGTAACATCACTAAATAAAGTTTTTTTGTGAAAATTTCTTAGGTTTTGATCATAATTTTATTTTCATCAAAATGTCAGATTTGACATGCTGTCTTGGAGGTGATCAGTTCATCTTTGAAATTGAATGAAGTGACAAACGCTAGTCAGAAATTACACACTCGAAGAGGCTCTAAAAGTAAATAGGAAGCTCCTTGTTATCGGCCGCAAAGCAGTTGCTTGGAAATGAAGATTTTAAATCATCAGTTCTCAAGTTGACCTTTCTGTTATTCATGGTCTTCGTCTTCCCTTCACTGAGATGTAAACGCCAACTGCAACTGACAACTTTGCTGTGCTACATCACTGCCATGGATTCTTTCACAAATTGATGAATAACATGAAAGACAGAAATTAGTAGCTCATTAAGTAGAAAAGCATAGAGTCTAAAAGGTTCCTTCCTTCAACATCTTTTCCTATATTTCCCTTATTAAGCTGGCTGCAAAGTTGAGGTAATCTTGCAAATGCAAGATGTCAACCACTATCTCAACATAACTACTCTCACTCAAAATGCAACGTAACGGACCAAGAAAACAAAAGGGACACTGACTACAAGTAGAATGCAACACTCAAAAAACCATGTATTATACATGAAGCGCATAGGCCCTGCAAAACTCGTAAGACGATCCAGATATTGATGTACTCCAATCAATTCTGAGGTATAACTATCCACCTTCACACGAGATAATGGAAAACTAGAAGATTGAATCAAATTCAAGTCGCATACACTACCAGGAGCCTGCCCAAATATTGCAGTATTTGTTTCTTCCTAACTGGTCTGCGAGGGGGACGGTTGTGAGACCATCTTCCAATTTAACTCTAGGCCCTACAGAACCATCAGAGCCAGAACTGGTTCTATCAGTAACAGTGCCTTCTTTGCTAGACTCATCCAAGCGGACAACTTGGGCAAAACTCTTCGACATCTGCTTGATAATATCAGTTGGCAAGGTAACTGCATTTCTGTGCTCACTTTCCCCAACTACACCTACAGCAATCAGGCTCGCTTGCTGTCTGGCTTTCCTTTCTTGCATGGCTTTCTGTCGATCCTCATAAAAATCAAAATCCTCTAAGATTGACATATCAGTTTCATAATTCTTAAAGATATTCAGCATCTCTATACCCTGCTCCAGTTTCACCTGCAAGAATTCAAACTTGATATTAGGCACAAGAGAGCTGAAATAATTCATGCTTTGGAGATTCCATAGAAGCGTGAATGAAACCAAATAATTTCCTTGAAACGAAACAGTCATGAAATCATTAAAATTTTAAGCTTACATATAGCCAGAGACATCACATGAACAACTACAATTGAGTCAATATAAACTATCTATCTAGATTCTCCTGCAATAAGAATTTCAAGGACCAAAAAATCGTAATTTCTTGTTGTGGACCAAAAATACCTAAAGCTCTAAGAAATTCCCATAACTTATGAAGTTCCAAAAAGAATTCCTACCTCCTGTGTGTCTCGACTGTTAGTGACAGGCTTGTTGTCATTATTTTCCAACACAATGTGACGAAACTGACTGTTTGGGACATCTTTAATAATGTGCCATTTGACAGGGAACTGCCCGCTCCATTTGTCCTGCTGCCAGTAATCCACACTCTTGTCAAAATCAACAGGTCCAACCATTTCAGCCACCCCACAAAACTGAGCACTAGCATTCACCTGCATACAAGAGTAACAAGTAAGCATGGAAGTACGAAACAAAAAATTAGAAGTTATAACAAAGATATAGCATTCACATGCTATAAGAGTAAAAATTAAAAAAAAAATTAGTCGCATATAAAGGAACAATAGCAATCAACAAAGAATTAGAAGTTCAAAAGACAATAACAGAGATATTAGAGGAGCTTTAGTTTTCCTTCAACATTGGATAAAAAAAAATAACAAAAACTAATACATTGATGCATTTAAAAAATGCAAAGGTCTCAAAATCTCTAGTTTAACTATATATTTCAAGTTTTTTCTTTTTTTTCTTTTTTTCCCCCCAAGGGTGTCTGCCTTCAGAGTTAATATTGATTGAGCACTTAAGAATCAGGTATTTACCGAAAATAAGAGAAACACAGGACAAGGATCTTGTTTCTCCTTAGCTTCACGATAGGCAGCATCCAATTTTCTATTCCCATTTGGAGTGCTGGCCCAAACACCATATTTGATGCTCTTGTGAACATTATCTTCACTGTATGACTTGATGATGAAGAACTTAGCATCGTTGTATTCAATTACAAAATCTGGTTGGTTGTATGGCTCATCATGGATCTTGGCAGATGGTTTGCTATGTTTATTATTATCAATAGAAGGACCATGTTCAGCTATATTTTGAGCCTTAGGCTTTGAGGCCCTAGGTCCTCTATTTTGCTCACTAAGAATATCAAGACTACCATTGCAGCCACACAAGGAAACACTGCTCCTTCCTCGCCGTCTGCTATTTTCAAGGGAAAGCCAACCCCGACTGTTTGTCCCCAGACTAGAAATGGATGCACTTCCAAAACTAGATCCCTGATTATAACCACTCTGCAGATAGGCTCTATTATAGGAGTTCGAACCAGATCCAAGGCCATAAAATGATCTTTGCTGTTGAGATGCCTGCAAAAAATTGTCAGTTAGCATTAACCCTAAAAGCCATAATCTGCTTTATCAATTGTTATGATGATACGAGCTAACTATCGATGACAGCAATGCATTAATATCGAACATAAAAAATGTATGGCAAAGAAAAAGTAACCTAGGGCTGTTCTCAGGCCTATCGTGTGGAAAAGAAGGGTAAGATTGGGAAAAAAAAACAAGTAATGAACTCTTAAAAATATATTCAGTTGGCATGCTAAGTTTATAAAGAAAAAAGTAAGAACCTTCAAACAATCATTTTGTCTTGTATTGGCAAATAATAAATAAGATCTTTGACATGATTGGTTTTGATTGGGCTACACACATCTTGCATAAACCACAACTGCAAGCTCTGATTAAATTTCCAAATACTAAGGCTTATAAAATTAATCTAGGATAAAGCAAATGCAGCATAATGTGCAAACCCTTTTCTTAACTAGCTAGATGTATTCCTTGCCTACAGTAACATCTTGTAATGAGAAAAAGCAAACATATCACGTGATTCTCTACAGAATTTTTTTTTTCCCAAATAAAGGGGTAAGAGAACAAACCATTCCAACATTCTGCCCAAATGACCCAAAAGTGCCGACAGGCTGTGGAGAAACTGCAGGTGAAAAGGGAGTCAAAGGCCTATTTCTATCAGAGGGCTTTGACCAATCTGACCAAAGTCCTCCAGATCTCAATCCATCAAACCCTTGCTGCAGATCATGATAACCATGGTTTCCTGGAAAACTGCCCCTACCAATTGATCCCACTGGAGCAGGATAATTAGGCCTTGGTCCGAAAAGCATGTTATCTCCTTGTTGGTCAATGTTTGCCAATGTGTTGAACTCTGGCTGTGAAACTGGTGTTGGTGAAGTAATATATGACATATTATGAGGACCTAGATGTTGGTAATAAGGTGGCCCAGAAAATGGATATTGCTGATGGGAGTATAACTGTGCATCTCCACCAACAGAAGGTAAGGGAGTAGTGACTGGCGAATATGGTCCATAAGGCATTTGTGGACTATATCCATATCCAGCATGGAAAACAAGAGAAGGATTGTCGTTGTAGAGACCCTAGTTAAGATAAAGTGTCAGGGAATAATATCAAAGGTGATGTAAATAGGAAAATGATGCAATTGGGGGGATGCTTACAGGTGACCCGATTTCTAACCCTTCAGCATTTATGTATGGAGGATATTCATCCCATTCACCAGTGGTATTGTCATAACCTGGTTGACAATATCAATAAAATGGCCCCTTGATTAATTTACGTAAGATATCATGTAGCAGGAACTAATACACAAGAATATTGCAGTTACATGTATTTGACGTCTAAACATTAGTGTTTAGTGTCATCTGTGCGACATCAATGATCAGTATGATCAGATGACTATCAAGTTAAGGGAATCCAAATTGACTGTGAGACTAACCTCTGTAGTAGAATGCCTGTGCCTGAGGAGCATAAATACTAGGTGGATAGACAGCACGATCTCCAGGAGAACCAAAAGCTCCCGACTGTCCTGTGTTGTCCCTCGGATAAACTAAAGGGGCAGTATCCTGTGAGGAATTAGGAGAAACTGACGTCTCATTTTTTGCTGATAGTGGCTGAAAAGAAGTTAAAAGATAAGGTTTCTTACTAAAAATATATTTTCTTTAAGCTTATGAGTGGAAAAAAAAACAAAAAACAAAAGAGAACTGAGGATTGAAGTTTAAGTATAACTACCCGCTCCTTCATGTTATCTGATTCAGCAGGTTTCTCTTCTGCATCCATGATCAGTATGCTCAGTGACTTAGTAGAGTCTTAGAAACACAGGCAGTACAAATTTATTGACCAACCAAAGCAAAAATTGGGGATACGAAAACTTGAAGCTATGAATATGTGCGCACAAATCCACACATTCACACCTATGCACACATGATAAATATAAGAAAATGAATACTTTCAAAATGGAAAACCAGTGAGATCTAGTCGATACTAGAATGAAACAGGCAACCGTCGTACATAATACAAAACAATGAGCAACCACTCATTAATAACCAAATTCTATACAATAGAAGTATGCTTTGAATAGTCAAAGATCTTATCCGCTTGACTATAATAAGCTTATAAAAACAGACATCACCTTGAAATCTTAAGTATATAAACATTTTTCATTTCATGAATTTCCAGAAAGCAACCAAATCAACAAGTCAATCAAGCTTCTTGAACCTCCCCTCCACGGTACTTTACTGAATAATTAGCTATACATGACAAGCAAACCCTGAGAATTTACAATAATTAAGGTCACCTCACACAAACTAGATCTCAGATCTCAACATAAGACATCCAGCAGAGCCCAGATCAAAACTATTTAGTAACATAAGCAAGTATGCAATCTCTCAGCGTACAAAAAGACAAGGATCCTAAGAAAAAGAAAACAGCATATAATCTAAGAAAGATTGATTCTTTCATGTTCAAACGAACAAGACTAAACAACCCACAAGCCAATTCATCCCCAACAAAAGGGAGAGCTTGAATTACAATAAAGATGAAAACTTTATACGATTATGATGAAGATAAGAAGTGGGGTAGGTAGAGACGTACCAGCAGGGGTACGATCTGGAGCAGGTTGTGATGGTGATTGGGTTGCCGCCATATGAATGAATCAGAGGAAGATCTATTCAGCAGTGGCACCAGAATCTAAACTCAAATCACCAAAAAAGTCTTTATCTTTTGCCTTACATAGATATATAGAGTGAGAGATAGAGAGAGAATAAAAATAAATTTTTTTTTTTAAAAAAAGAAAATAGTCCTTGTACTAGACTATATCTATATCTATCTACCTATGTAAGTAGTGTACAGGAGACATTTAATATTTGGGTGTATTTTTTGTTTTTTAGTAATGCTTCTTTTCTTCTTTCAGTTTGGCTATTTACTGGACAGTTAAAAAGAGATGATGTCTATTAAGGTAAGCAGAGGTTCGATATCTTCCTTCTTCCCTTTTTTTTATTTTTTAATTAGAATCTGAACCTTTTATATATATATGCACAGTGAATTACAAATTAGTCCCTTTATTTTTTAAAATTAATAATTCTCTCTGATTTTAAAAAATAATTATTTAATTCTCATTTAATTTTATCGATCTTTTCATTTTTTTAAACCAAAAATTGAAAAAAAAAAGAATTAAATTATAAAAAATCAAAATAAAAAATAAAAATTACTCTATATATGCACGTGGTGTTTGGAGATGCTGAACTGAACTCTGCTCCTCTTTTTCTTCTCTTCTGTTCTTTTTGTCGAGTATTGGATGGTTGGGAGTTTAATCCTTAAAACTGTCTCATTCCAACACCAACAATTCTAGGACTACCCATTTTATGGGCTTCTTTTATATTATGATTAGGGCTTGGCCCAGATCAGAAATATGTCAGTTTTGAGTTTGATTTTGGTTTGCCCCTTTGTCCTCCTATGGTTTTACAAACAGAGCACACGGCTGTAAAAGCAATTGCTATTGTAATTGTGAATCCCAGCTTATCTCAATAATAAAATAATAATTACATTAATTGATATCGTAATTACATTTATATTATTAATTATTAATAAAATTGAATAAAAATACAACGATATATTATTATTGTCGTTATTTATATGATTATCAACATTATGTTGTATAAGATGATGAAAAATAATAATAATTTTGATAGATTCTAACCATCATTAAGACTTAACTGTAATAAGAATAAATAATATTGCTGCGAATTTTTCGTATTTGATTTGATGTGGCTTTCATTTCATGTAATAGGAACCAAAATGTTAGAAGCATTGCAATTTGGTAGTATTCATCTATGGGGTCAGGGATCAGTTTGACTAGTTCCAACTTCCAAGCTACAAATACACATACATATTAATGCCTGTAGACCTTAAGGCCAAAAAGAACAAACAGATTGTGATGTTGTCTTATGGTTTTTATTTAGTCTTTTGCTTGTCGTGCCATTTCAGGCATCTGTCTTAGATGTAGACAAGTTGTTCCAGTTTCCATTTTTATTTTGGGTGGAGGCATACATGAACGAACAAGAACATCATTTTCCATAGAATGAGGGCAACAAGGAAAATAACAAAAATGTAGATGATACCGATGATTGATGAGTTGAAAAGGGATAAGTTAGGCCTAGAGCAACCAGGACTATATGTTATGCTTCTTCTTTATCAGTTGTTTCTGATGAGTTGAAATAGTGAGCTTGAAGACTTAAGCTAGCTAGTTATGGCTGTGAGTATCAGAACCATTGCTATTATAGTGGCAGCGCTTGGTGTCAAGGCTTTTGTATTTGGAATTCTAGCTGAAATCAAAAAGGTAATTACTATAGATTGAGAAGGTTACTTGTTGATAATCTCTTTCTGATTCTGATCTTACAGTTTTTTTTTTTTTTTCGATTTTTCTGCATGCAGCCTGCTTCTGGAGAGGCTAGCATGTCGAAAGGAGTTGTTACCTGCAAATATCCATCAGACCCATCAGTCTTTTTTGGCTTCTTATCGATCGCAGCACTCGTTGCTTGCACATTGGTTGGAGTCTATTCTATACTTTATCCTTACAAAGGCAAACCTGTTCCTTACAAGGCTTTGTTTCACGGCACTGCCATGCTTGTGTTCTTCCAAATTGCCCTGTGAGTCTGCAAGTAAATAAGTGCTTTATCAGCTCCAGGATTTACTTTCTGATATGATTATAGTTTTAAATAACTCCCGTAATGTTATATAACGGCCGTTATATAATAATTTCTGAGCATCTCATTATCTTTATTGTAATATTATAACAAACCGCGATCCACGATAATGACCACGATCGTTTTTTCATCCGTCCGTTATTTAAAACTATGGATATGATATTTTCAAGTTATTCATGCCTAATTATTTCTTTTCTTGGTGTGGAAACAGGTTGGTGTCCATGTTGGCTGTAGGGATGCTGCTGTGGGCAACAACCACTGAGATCATTCACTTGACAAAGAACGTGCATCATCATAACATGGCTAAATGTCCGACAGCCAAGACTGGCCTTTTTGGTGGTGCTGCCTTCTTGGCTTTGGATGCTTCCCTCTTCTGGCTAATTTGCTTAATGCTCGCAAGCAATGCCAGAGAGGATTACTTTGGTGAGGCAGAAGACGATCAGAAAGGTGAATATGGCCAAGTTCTAATTACAGAATATGAGACCAAGGAAGAAAGCAAAGCTCGAAAGTTTTAAGTGGCCTCAGCGAGAGGGATTGTTTTCCTGCCGAATGTTATTTTACATTATGAACATGAAAGCTATCTACCAGCCTTGGACTTTGGTGTGAATGTGTTCTTTTCTCTGTTCATTCCTGTTGTTATTTTCTCTGGTGCATAGATAAGCTCGCCAGAACAAGCAAGCATCTTTCAGAGATAGCTTTGAAACTAGATGAATGGACTACTCTACTGTTGCTCTGCTACTTCATTGCTTAGGTCAAGAACCAAACTTAATTTGTAATCAAAATTTTAGAAGGTTTTTGATGTGGATCAATAGGCTTGGGAATTTATGAAACAGTATGAACAAGACAGAAGCTAGAAAAAAAAACGTTATTGGCCCAATTTTGAGGTTTTTTTAGCCTAATTCAATGACAAACGGGCCAATAAGCAGAATTCGTGGACATAGCCCATGACATAGGAGTGATTTTGGTTTAAAAAAAACATCATTTTGACCCTCAAAATAGCAATTTACTATTTTTTCAAGATTTTTCTTTAATATTTTTCAGATTTTAGTGTTTGTTTCCTTTTCAAATTGCTTTAGGATTTTAACTAAAAATTTACTATTTATATATGAATTTGAGGCTGAAAAATGACACTTTTGCTTGATTAATAAACTTTTGTGAGAGAATATCTCAGTTTTCTCAATTTTTGATATTTTTTAAATCAACGGGATTGAAGCCTATTTCTTGATATTTGTGTGTACAATTCAACATGTTATAATAGATCAGTATTCATCCTTTTCTTGTGAGTTTCCACTACGCTAGTTTTCAAAAAGCTGGTAGTTCCTCTCTTCCAGGGATACTGAGAGATTGCTGTGGAGGAGGGGAACAAAAACTCTCCAATGATTATTTATATGCAAACAGAACATGGATTATACAAAGAAAGTGCAGACTGCAAACCCTGAAGAAGAAAAGGAAAAAAAGAAAAAGAGAAAACCTGAACATAAAAGATGATGGTGTGCCCCATTTCAATACGGACACTTCAACCTGATGTAATGTCATGATGTTCTCTACAGGACATATTATCACTCAGATCAAGGTTCTTCCTGTTTCACATCTTGCGATTTTTCCGGTTTTGTACTAGACAAACTATCAGCCAATTCAAGGCCTTTAGTTTCAAATGGAAAGAGCAATACACAGATCCCTGCTACAAAAACTATACCAGCAAAGAAAACAACTGCTGCAGTTTGATGGCATCCTTGCACTAAACTGACTGCCACAAGAGGGCAAACCATTCCTCCAATTCTTGACACCGAGCTTGCAACTCCAAGACCAGTTGATCTCACCAAGGTCGGATAAACCTACATGATAGAAAAATAACCATGTGTTATCACCTACAGGCAACTGAAATTTTGCAGATAAACAAAATGAAGATTTTAACTATTGCATGTTCAGTTTGACAGATTCAGTTCTCGTACATGTGTGTTGTCACTGGAAAAAAAAACAAATAAAAATTGTATCTGAAAGATTGCTAGATATCAACATGCTTTATCTATTTTCAACATGAATCTGACATGATTACACAATTTGCTTAAAATAAGTACGTCTTCTTTCCTCACTAATGTTTCTTGTTTATGAGATAACTAAAATGAAAGTTCACCAACAAAATGCCACTCGAGTAAAACGTTTGATTTGCATAACTTACCTCTGGAGCGTATATATAAACGATTGTGAAGGTTCCAGTGATGCATGTTCGAGCTCCAAATAGAAGTGCTGTTGTTACACCTGTAGGCTGATGGACTACCAATGGCAGCAGAAAGATGCAGCAAACAAAGAACATAGCCGCCATTGAAAGTTTACGACCAAGTCTATCAATTATGAGAGCGGACAGGATGAGCCCCGGGAACTCTAGAACCAAATAAAAGTTCGATGTCACTAAGCTTCTTTGAATAGAGTACAGGAATCAACTTTATCATACATGTAAAAGCATTGTTCTAATAACTGTGAATCTTACCTGCAAAGCTGGTGATAAAAACCTGCTTGTAATTAATATCTGCAGACTTTTGCGACTGCTTTTTAGTTTGATGGCATGTGTTACTCCTATCGTTCAACTCCGTTGTCAGCAACACAATGCCATAGTATGAAAATGCATTTGCAAAGATCACCACCCATAAAAGCAAGGTTGACCTAACTAATCTTGGTGAGAAAAGCACTAGCACTGATTTGAAGACCCCCATGGCAGAATCCTTTGGCTTGGGAGGAGGAGGAGGAGGAGGAGGAGGAGGAGGTGCAGCAGCAGCATCTTTACCTCTACTCTCTGTTAGATGATTGTTTCCTTGCAGCACAATTTCGTTGCCAGCAACAAGAACACCAGGAGGCAATTCTTTTCCATTTAGTTTGGCTATTTGCTTCAAAATTTTAACAGCTTCATTTTTTTGACCTTTCAAGCATAAATACCTTGGTGACTCAGGTGTCAAAGTATAAAATACAAGGAGGAGGAATGAAGGCAGAGCAGACAGAGAAAGCAGCCACCTCCAACCTAATCTTGGCATAATAATCTGTAATAAATAAATAAATAAATAAAAACCTAATGACAAGATCATCATCATCAACAATTGCAGCATTAAAACCAAAACTACCATGTGGACTTTATTGAAGAAAACAAGAAACCAACCATGATGGAGGAGACATAATAAACATTGAAAATGAACATATTCAAGAATCAATATCAATTCTAGGAGAGGAGTTATGGGAATATAAACGCTAGCAATGCGAAAAACACTGCATAATGGCCTTCAAATAAAGCATGAAAGTTTCCCAGATTTTTAGAGCCCTATATTTCCGTCCACTTCATATTTAAGCACAAGCATCAGAAACTCATAAAAAGAAAACGGTGGCATGGATCGTTGAAAGATGTTGAGTTAGTTGAGTATCACTGTATAAGAATTCTATAACGAGATGTAGGACCAACAATTTGTGAAACAATCAAAAAAATCATAACCATACCCATGCCAGACCAGCCTCAAAAATTGTTCCGACCGTCCAGAATGCTGAGAAAACCACCATCCAAGTGCCTCTGTTTGGTGCAGGTACAAACTCTAAAAACCAAGCTAAGAGTACAGGACCACCTCCGATCCCAAAGCCAACCAAACAACGAGAAATAAGCAATACTATGTAGTTCGGGGCAAAGGAACTTAGAAAACCAGCTCCGGATGTCATTATTGCTGTAACAAAAAACCCTTTCCTGAAGGAATACGAATCAACAACAAAAAAACACATTTCAGAGACTAAAGTATATAAAATTCCCAAAATTACAGCAGAAGGTCACTCAACAACTTTATAGGGAGCAACTCAAATATCTATTTCCAACTTCAAATCATAAGGCTTTTGGTTAAGGATGTCACTATTCTCCGACCGACAACGGAGTAAAACACACACATAATGAGACCTTCTCTGTGGATGGAAAGGGGTGATCCACGAAGATGATTGCAGAATCATCTTCAAGTGGGTTAGATAATTATTTTCTTATTGTTTTGTCAATTATGTAAACAGAAGGATGTAAACAGAAAGGGAGAAGAAGGTACCTCCTTCCATATTTATCTGAAATTATGCCCCATGTATATGCTCCAAGCAGCATGCCAGCAAAAACCACCGTGGTTATCAGGCTCTCCTGTTGAGATGTAAGACCCCATTTCGAATGAACTGCCGGTCCAACGAACGAGAGAATCATCACCTCCATTGCCTCTGAAACCCAACCCATTCCAGCATAGAGTAGCACGAGGAATTGGAACTTTCCAAACCCCATGGTGACAAGAGCGTCATCAACGTTATACCTTGGACCTCCATCTGCCATCTAAAAAATGTGAAGCAAATAAGCTAACCAAAACAAGCGTAAGCTACTTTTGCTGCTTGTACGAATGAAAACAGCTTAAAATTATATAGATTAAGAGTTACCTTGATCTTTAGCCTAATGATTGATCCTGCATCATGCACTGTTTCAACTACCGCAAATGCATAGCACTGTAAAGGAGTCAATAATCACAGGAGAACAGATGCAATTAGTGCCTCGAAAACTTCCCCTTTCTTTTCTGGTCTAGCAGATGGCCCGCACCGGCCCATAGTCCCAAACACCACAATAAACTTAAACCTTGGATACCTTCATAGATGGCTACACTCGCCAACAGAACCAAAGCCATTGCGTGTTGCCCTGAAAAACTTTGGTCTGCCTCTTGGCAAATGATATTAAATATTTTTGCCCATTTACTATGTAGGGCAATGCCACTAAGTTAGAATATTATTGATGTTATCACTATGAACTCCACTTATGAGTCCAATGATTATATTTGTCATTACAAGACAAATAACCTTCTGAGCTGAATTGCCACTCATAGACACAGTGGAGTGGTTAGGTAAAGATTATCAAGGGCCATATACCATAATACCTTTTCATTCTTTGATTTAGTGGCTTAAGTTTTAGCCCTAATTAAGTTTAGGTCTAAGTTCATTACTCCTAAGCATATGCTAGAGAACTTTTCTCTAAGTTTAGCTCTCTCTGCATGACTCCTACTCTCCATAACTTGCTACCTTCATAGCTTACTTCCGGAAGCTTTATTTTCATTCAAGTTCCTCTCCAAGAGTAAAGAAGACACTGAGAAAGTGCAAGGGAGAAGTATTGAGGCATGAAGCAGTGAAATTGTCATGTTTTCCATTTCGATCACAGTTCCGACTAGCGTCGACATGATTTGTGACTCGATTCAAGTATGAATCCTATGACTTACAGGTTAGTATAATTTCACTGTTGGTAGATACCATCTCACCCTATCTGCCAAAGAATGTTAGAATTTGAAAGATGGGCAGTTCTTGTGAATCCACAACCTGTGTTTGTGCCAAATCAAACTGTCTCTTTGCATAAACAATCTCATTCTTGCAAGCACACACCTAATTAAGGTTTCCTGCTCTGCTCTAGCTCAGCTGCTCGATTTCCTTGTTCAAGAATAAACTAACTTTCTAATTAAGGTTAGTTAAATGATTAGGGGTTTTAGACTCATTAATCTTAGAAGCAAAGGTTTTGAAAAGTAATCATTAGTATTCATTCTTTCCTTCACTAACTACATGATTATTATCAGCTGCTAATAACAAGGTTTTGTACCAAAATTAATAAACTTCTCGATTGGATACCAGAGTTTTGTTCTTTAAAACATAATCAAAGCAATTGTTGAGAGAATTGAACATCAAGGACACAATATGAAAGGATTCGATAAACAATCCAACCAAACAAAACCCATCATGAAAACACGAACATGCTGCAACTTGAGAAGCACCAAAAGATAAAAAAAGAAATAATCCAAAACATAAGCACAAAATGGGAATTGACAGAGAGGAAGAAAACAGACCTTATCAGAGATTGTAAATGCAAACTATCCAAGAAAATGGGTTCCTGCTTTTTGTAGGGTTTTCAGACTGAAAAGAAAGGTGATGGACAGATGAGTAGTGTTTCAGTGTACTTTGTTGCGAAGTTTACTCATATGGAATGATGGTGTTTCATAGGAAATGAGAAAAACTGTCAGCCATCCAATCCAATCATACCATAAATATGGGGAAAAAATGAAAATATGGAAAGAATCAGAAGTTGGTCCTCTAGCTCTGTGACCGGTGTCTGTGTACACTACACTAACAGTTGGAATCTGTACGTCTTAGTGACTAGTGTCTATCTACCTTGACATTTGTCTGTCTCTGGATTTTCTTTGCTTTGCTATATCCCAGGTGGGCACTTAAGTTCGACTGATTTCTTCTTCAGGGAAAATGGAAAATCCTTCATAAAGATTCTCCAATCTTTGCTTTCCTCTTCATATAAAAGTATGATCCTTCAATGACAAAAGGAAAAATTATGGTCCTTCAACTTCTGAACTGTTCAAGTGTTGTTCCTTTTTTGCATCATAAACATGAGTGATATTGAGGCTTCAACTCGAACCCTCCTCATCATCAATTGATATGCTTATGCTTTTAAGTTGGACAAAGAAACCAACCAAGAAACCCTCAAATAAATAGGATAGAATTTAACAAGGACACAAAAATCAAACATTGACGTTACTCGATATTGCATTCGCTTTCATGTAACATCACATTATCGTACATTACTTTCAATTACGAGATTGATTGTAAAAACCATTATGGCTTTTTTTTTTTTTTTTTTTTTTTTGGATTGAGGTACCCTCGATAACTATGAGTGTATAAAGAAAGAAAATATCTGAATAAACTATAGTGTATTTACGTGAATGTGAAAGAAATAATAAATAGTAATATAGTGTTTAAAGAGCAAAGTTGGGAATTTAGAACTCTTAATCCTTATGGTTTTTATATAGGTGAAAATTGTGTCTAGTTACATGGAGCTCTTAGTCCCTAGGGTTCTTGTATGCATATACTTTTTAATTGTGCTAGTAAGCGAAGGGCATCTTCTTTATCCGGATTTACCTCACATTTCAACTCTGTACAGTTTAATTTTTTTTATTAAGGCCATCTGTAATTTTTCAACTCTGAACATATATCTGTGCTCAAACAGGGTTAGACTATGAATACAGTACTTGCAGACCACTATTTACCCAAAAATTCAACTACTGTAAAGTTGCAGGAAGCACACTTGTTCCTTATTTCTCCAGCATATACACGATGGAATCATCAAATGCTTAAGTTGTTGCCACACATCATCCTTCTCAGGTTAGGGATGGCAATTTGTCCCATCCCCACAAAACCCCACCCCACCCCACCCCACCTCGGTCAATATGAGTATTTTCCGACTTGACTAGGGAATGAGGTAGGATGTCCCGTCTTGTATTAATTTTGAACAAGGATGATATTTGGTCATTCTGCCTCATTTATCCCACTCTATCTCTGAAATTACAATTATATCCTATATAAAATCTGTGACTACATACTTTTAGAATTTATTTTCTATATAAATTATCATTTTTTTACTATAGTTTAAAATTTAATAGTAGAATGAAATGAAACAAAACGAAAATAAAAAATCAAACGAAGTACCGATACCCCATATGGATCTCCATCCCTGTTTAGGATGAGAATTGTAAGAGAAATATTGCCCCACACAAGGCACGGGGTAAGGACGGCGCAAAATTTTTAGGGGCGGCCATCCCTCCCCTCCCCATTGCCATTCATATCTCAGGGTGGTTATGTGAACTGATATATTTACAGAGATGCTAAACAGAAAGAGGAACCAACAATATATTCTGAAGTTTCAATTATTACAAAGCAGTGGTTTGACCCTTTTTAATATTATGATCAGTTCAACCTAGTAATATTATGGTCGGTTCGACCTAGTACATTAGAGTATGACACTGACAGATCAAGGCTCTTCTTGTGTCACGGCCTTGAGTTTTTCATCTAGTACATTACAGTATGACACTGACAGATCAAGGCTCTTCCTGTTTCACGGCCTTGAGTTTTTCATCTAGTACATTACAGTATGACACTGACAGATCAAGGCTCTTCCTGTTTCACAGCCTTTGGCTTTTCATTTTTCGTACTGGATACACTCTCGGTCAATTCAATACCCTTGGTTTCAAATGGAAACAGCATTACACAGCATCCTGATACAAATATTATGCACACAAAAAGAATAAGGGCTACTGTCTGATGACATCCTTGCACCAAACTTACTGCCACAACAGGGCAAATCATTCCCCCAATTCTTCCCATTGAGCTTGCAACTCCAATACCAGTTGATCTTACTGAGGTTGGGTAAATCTGGAAAACAAAAATAAAGCATATGATATCACAGACCAGTGACTTAAATTTGATGATAAACAAAATGAGGATTTTATGTGATGTTGAGTGCCAAATGTAAAATTGCTTGCAGATTGCTGCCATAAGTGGCATGAAGTAAGAAAAATGGAGACCTTAAAGGGTGAGATGTTACAAATACTTAAACAAAAGTACACTTAACGCTAGAACTACAATGATTTAGCACAAGCACTCTTCGGATTTTAAGAGCTAGGTTGAGTTGAGTACCCTTAGGCTGTGGTTGTTAAGCGGGATGGATAGGAGGAAGGATGGATGGGGTAAAGGATGGATAGATTACCATCCACCTAGTTGTTTCGCTAACAGGGGAGATGAATGATGGGAGTTCATCCAACCAAATTGAAAGCATTGAAAATTACAAAGAAGGGGAAGAATGGGTGTCAATCCACCCAAATTAGGAGGATTGAAAATAACAAGTGAAGGATTGGAAGGATCGTCTCCATCCTTCCTGCCAAACAAAGCGAACATCGAATCCTTCACTTGTCATCCCTCCCCCTCACCCATCCTTTCCCCAATCCCTCCTGACAAGCACAGCATTACAAGTCACTGTTAAATCCACATCATAGGTGGACATGCATCCATTGCATGGATCCTATAATCTAGTCTTCTAAAACTAAGCTATTAAAAGAAAGTGGTGTTCAATTTCAGATTTGAGGATCAACATATAATAGGATATCACAACACATAGCTTTTCTGTCTCTCTGAAAGAATATACTCATGGATAACAAATAATTTAATTCAGTTTCATCAAAAAAAACTTCTAGTGCAAACAAATAATCCTGTATTTTTTTCTCTGAAGTTTCTTGTCAACTCAACTAAAGCACAATTTATATCCCAAATGAATTGGTGTAAGCTGAAGTCTGTTTTCTCTTCTTTTTTTCCCTGAAGGTTCTTGATTATGAGATAATAAAGAGAAAATTTCAATAATCAATAGGCTTTTGAATGAAAATTCAATTCCCATGACTCACCTCTGGAGCATATATGTAGACAATAGTGAAGGTTCCTGTGATGCATATTCGAGCACCAAAGAGAAGAACTGTTGTTACAGTTGGTGACTGATGAACTACCAATGGCAGCAGGAAGATGCAGGCCACAAAGAACATACCCGCCATTGAAAGTTTACGACCAATCTTATCAACTATGAGAGCTGAAACAATGAGCCCCGGAAATTCTTGAGCCAAAAAAAGTTAGATGTTATAAAGCTTCCTTGGAGAGATTACAAAATCAGATTTATCATAAAAATAAAAACACTGTTGTAATGGATGTACAAACTCACCTGCAAAAGTAGTGATTAAGACATCTTTGTAATCAACATCAGAAGACTTATGTGACTGCGCTTTAGGGTGATTGCATGTATTGTTCCTATTGTTCAACTCAGTTGTCAGCAACACGAGGCCATAGTATGAAAATGCATTCCCAAAGAACACCACCCACAAAAGCAGGGTTGACTTAAGTAATTTTGGTGAAAGAAGCATTAACAGAGATTTTAAGACTCCCAAGTCAGAATCCTTCCACTTAGGAGGAGCAACATCTCCCTCTGTACTTGCTGGCTGTGAAATTGTGCCTTCTGTAGGAAGAATCTTTCCTTGTAGCTCAATTTCATTATCAGTAGCAAGAACACCGAGAGGCAATTCTTTTCTATTTTGTTTGCCTATTTTCTCCAAAACTCTGAGGGCATCACTTTTTCGTCCTTTCAAGCAGAAATACCTAGGTGATTCTGGTGTCGCGACATAAAATACTAGGAGAAGGAATGAAGGCAAAGCAGATATCCCCAGTAGCCACCTCCAATTTAGTCTAGGCATAATAATCTGCAAAAGGACAAAACAAGGATGAAACTATTTTTCAGAAATGTAGCATGGATTACATGATGTAGAAAAAGATAAAACCAGAACTATTTTATGGACTTCACTGGAAAGCATAAAAATGAAACATGATAAGAAATAAAACATGAGGATGTTCTGGAATAATTCCAGAATAAGAGGTATGGATATGCAAATGATAGCATCAAATGACACTTCATAATAACCATTAGAGTAAAGCAACAAGGTTTATCAATCTTAGAATTCCTGAAATACCAAATCTCAATCACTACATAATTTGGCACATGCAACAGAAAAACAAAGCATATATCGTTGAAAGTCTAAAACTATCATATGTCGGTAGGTGAAACACATCATACCAATATAAAATTAGTTTCACCAACCACAGGTACAGGTAACCTGAGATCTAAGTGTTGACTATTTCAGACTTTTAAACCAAGTAAGAAATTTGGACCAAGAAACCAGTTATGATAAAGAAATCATCAGCATACCCATGCCAGTGCAGCCTCAAAGATTGCTCCAAATGTCCAGAATGCAGAGAAAATCACCATCCAAGTGCCTCTGTTTGGTGCAGGTACAAACTCTAAAAACCAAGCTAAGAGTACAGGACCACCCCCAAGACCAAGACCAACCAAGCAACGAGAAATAAGCAATACAGGATAATTCGGGGCAAAAGCACTTAGAAAACCAGCTCCAGAAGTGATTATTGCTGTAACCAAGAAACCTTTCCTGAAGAATACAATAAAAAAAAGATAGAGCATGTTTGAGAGACTAGAAAAAACAAAACAAAGTTGCAGCAGTAGTTCAAGAAAGAGGCACAGCAAATGTAATTTGACAAAAAAAGAATAGTCACAAAAACCACAGTTGCAGGTTTCAAGATATTTGTTAAATGCTTCTATTCTTCAGCTTCATACCAAGTATTTAGAAACTTCAATTTTTGACACATATCAACGATTCAACCCTTTTCTACATAAATGATAAACGAATAGTGGAAACCTAGAATTTTTAGAACATCATCAAGTTCTAGTAAAACCGCTTTCATTTATTTGTTTTCTTTTTTGAACTGATTCCTAGAGATGCCACTTAATATCACTCTGTAGGATATGACAACGCAGGGAATAGAGCAGGAATCAATCCAACTACAAGGCTTCTTTTATTCTATTCTTCAAAAGCTAATTCAACTAATTCATCAGCAGTATCTGGAAAAGCTATCTATTTCTGACTTTCAATCAAAATGCAGAGGGGTTTCTGGCATAGTCATCAATATAATAATAGCAGAATCATCTTCAAGTTATGTGAATAATTATTATGATCTCAGGGTAAAGAAAGGATTGTGCACAGAAATGCAGTTGTGCACAGAAATGCAGCCTACCTTCTTCCATATCTGTCTGAAACTATACCCCATGAATAAGCTCCAACCAGCATTCCAGCAAAAACCACGCTGGTTATTAGAGACTCTTGATGAGAAGTAAGATTCCAATCAGACTTAACTGCTGGTCCTATAAATGACAGAATCATCATCTCCATGGCTTCTGAAACCCAACCCATGCCAGCATAGAGTAGCACAAAGTATTGAAATTTTCCAAACCCCATGGCAAGAATAGCATCGTCAACGGTATACCTTGGACCACCATCTGTCATCTAAGAAAATAAAGAAACTAAGCCAATTCATACAAACTTTAGTAACTTTTGCAGCTTAATTGATAGTCATTTATTATGACTGAAAATACCTTAAGACCACAAAGATCAAGATGTTGAAAATGATTTGAAGACACTAAGCTAAATATACCGAAGCTTTGAAAATCTTGTATGTGCCTTTGAGCAAGAATCAAACTTAGCAAACAAATTCAGCAGATTATGGCTCACAGTTTTATCAGAGATATTCTCAAGGCGTAAGAAGATTGAATTAGGAAAAACAGAAGACAGAAACTCCCCATGTCTCATCCAGTTTTTCGGTGCATCCTAAGCAAATCATGAAAGCTACATGCATATATATATATATATGAGACAGAATGTCATACCATAAGCAAACTTATCATAAAACATTTTCATAAAAAGTCAATGTTTTTAATCACAATCCTCAAATCAATAAAGTACCAAATACAGGATAGATTGGCTACATATTAACACGACAAAAACTTACTAGTAACAATATTAGAAGAGAATGAATGAAAGAATTTCTTGATGAGATAAATACCATTGATTTGTTGTGTCAAACTCAACCAATGCAAGCCTTAAGAACATGAAGCAACAAAACCCACCATAAAAAAAACACCCAGACAAATGGGGAGAAGGAAGAACAAACCTTGATAAATGCAGATCTATCTTCTTCTTCTTCTTCTTCTGCTCCTCCTCCTCGTATATGGAGTTTGTTCTTGTAAGGCTGAAACAAAGAATTCCAACGATAAGTGATCGAGTCAAAGAAGGCGTCGTGCTTACTGGAGAAAGGCGGAACAGGGGTGGCCCTTGATGAGGGCTCGTTTGTTGCTTTACGTACCTCTTTGCCCATCGAGCGGCGTGTACAAAAACAAGAATCTTTACCTCAATCAATCAAAACCAATGATAGAGAGAAAAAAAATGTTAAATCTATTTATCTTTAGGTTGACAGGGGGTGTCTTGTTTTGTTGTGCAAATTTTCCAGGCCTCGTGGGGCTTTGAGTTTGACTCCTCTTCCTGCCTTTCCCAAAGTCTGATGTTTCTGCCGTCAGACGTTGTCCTGTCCATTGATAATAGACTCTGCCTTCCACCCCACCTAACTCATTTTTTTCTATTTCTATGGTCTGTTTTTCTTGCTCCTTTCCCGAAACTAGGGAACGGGGAAGATAAGGATTAGGGAGAGTAAAATATAAATTAGGCCCTCTAGTTTTGAAAAAACGAATTAAAACCTAATTATTTTAGTCTTGTTATTTATATATTAATCATATTTAATTTAATATTATTTTATTTCAAAAATTATCTTATTTTCACATCAATATTTTCATAAAATGGACTAATTAAGAAAAACAAACAAACAAAAATACACTCTTTGTGTCCAAAAAGATTGTCATTTATATGTGTATCAAAATATTTGTATAATTAAAACTTTAACTGTTATTCTTTTCTAAAATATCAATAATTAAATTCTATTTTATAAAAAATTATCCAAAATACAATTATAAAAAAATAATTTAGATAAGTGTGAAAAAAAGATATTAATGTGTCAGAATGATAAATAATTTTTTTAATTTGTATGAAAAGTTAAAGAGAATATATATATATATTTTTTTAGAATGGAGAGGTAGAAAATAACATAAAATGAAAAAAAAACTAAATAATTAGTTGTTGAAATAAAAAATATTAATAAATTCTTTTCTAAAAACTAGATAGTAATTTATAATTTATTTTTTATCTTTTTTTAACTAGATAAATAAATTAAATAGGATTAAAAAAAAACCGATAAATTTTTTCAGATAGCTAAAATACTTTTAACTTTCTTTGGCTGGTTGACTTTGGATAAACGGTAATTAAGGCAAACCACGCTACCTATGTCTTAATTAGCATTTGGGCTTTCGGCTTTGGCCCATTATTATATTATATAGGTGTAATTTGATTTCAAAGAGTTGGACCATGATGTGGGCATGCATAACTTTTCCTGTCTTTTCAAATCTTGGATTGGGCTGGGCTGGGGTACTTACACTAGGTTTAAACAATTGAAGCCCATAGAGATGGGCTTAAAGAAAAGAATGAAGAATCTCTTAATGTAATTTCCTTCTTTCTTTGATATTTATTGTATTTTGCAATTCGAGAAAGAGGATACAAGTGCAGAAAATGACATGGCAAAAGCTATAGATAGAGATGGCAATGGGCATGATTTTTTTTTATCCTATCCATTAAAAAAAAATACATCTATAATTATTAAGAAATTATCCTTTAAATTCATAAAGAATTCGTATTCGATTTATCCGTTTATTTAATACTCCTAGAAATACTTTATTAAAATATTTCATTTTAGTTCTTATAGTTTATTTAAAAAAAAATTCGACCTTATTATTTTTTTCATTATTTGGCTCTTTGTTTGTAGGATTTTTTTTTTTATCTTCAAAATTTTCATTAAAAAAAAAAACACTATAGTTCTTACTTTATAAAGTTTGTGCAATCAAACTCCTATATATATATATATTTTCAAAAAAACATTAGTCGATATTAATAAAGTGCATATCCATGTCCAAATCTATATTAGTGAGTGTATATATTATTATTATTTTTACTCTTATCCATTTTAATATCCCTTAAGCATTAAAAATCAATATTTATTGACTTGGATAGAATGAGTATTAATTTTGCATCCAACTCGTTCTCATCTCTATCTATAAATAAAATAAAACGACACATTTGTTGAATAGCCAAGAAAAAATGGACAAAATTTGTAAAAAAATAACAATTAAAAAAAAACAAACAAACAAAGATGTGAAGATTACAATCTAATTCAACACGAATAGCAATGATTAATATGATAAAACCATATCTCTTGGGAGTTGGATTTATACATAGATATTCAATATCTAAAAGAAAAATAAAAAATCAAAACTTTATTCATGAAATTCTACTTAAAAAACAAAAGCGAGCAGAAGAGAGACGATATTTAGCAAGAGCTTAAAGGGAAATGGAACATCTTACCTCCAATGGAAGAAAGAAGAAAATACACCTTTCTTTCTTTCTTTTCTTTTCTTTTGGCCGACAAAGCTTGGAGCCCGATAACTTTCGGTGCAGGCAATCGATCCAACGAGATATAACTATAGAATGCTCGAGATGTTTTGGGTTGATATTCCCTTCTTCTATCAAAATCATCGATGATCAACTTTAGGAACCATTAAGTAGATGGTGAGGTATATATGCCTAAAAATGATGTGGCCAACCATTGAATTTGGCAAGGACATTAGGTTACATGATGCTATATTTATTTCCATTTACAGCAATTTTTCCCTATAACACATAACATTATATGACAGCTATATATATTATCATTTAAAGCAATATTTTAAAAAAATTCAATGACGTATCCCAACATAAAGAGTTTAGACATTCAAATTTGGTAATCGAATTGAGGTGAAGTGGTTTTATCGGGATAAATAAATTAAATAAAAGATTAATAAGTTATTTGTTCAATAGTAAATAAATTGCTTACTAAATAAATTTTTTGCCAAGTACATGGGTCAAGTAAGAGTTAAATCTTATCGTTTCGGTTTCAAATAAAAATAATTTTATTTCTAATATAAGATAAAAATAGCTAGAAATATATTCTCTCTATACATAGAGAGAGAGAGAGATTTCAGTTAGCTACAATACTTTTAACTTTCTTTGATTGGTTGATTTTGGATAAACGATAATTACAGCGAATACCTATGCCCTATTTAGCATTTGGGCTTTCAGCTTTCTGCTTCGGCCCATTATTATATTATATAGGTGCCATTTGACTGCAGAGAGTTGGACCATGATGGGCCGGGCTGAACCCGTTACACTGGGTTTAAACAACTGAAGCCCATTGAGATGAGCTTAAGGAAATGAACGAAGAATCCCTTGCTGTGATTAATTTCCTTGTCATTTACAGCAATTTTGTTTTCTAAGACATCGTATGATATGACACCACATTTATTATCATTTACAACATATGTTTTAAAATTTTAAAAAAATTGAATGATTTATCAATAAATCTGGACATTCAAATTTGGCAATTGAATTGGGGTTGGCTTGACTGCTTTTGGGTTGGATTGTGTTGGATTTCAATTATTTCAGATTCGGGTCAGTGGATGCTTGACCCTGACCCTAACCTATCAAGTCCGGATGGGTTTCGGTCAATCGATGGATTTGAGAGCTTTTTTTTTTTTTTTCTTCTAAAGAAAAGAATTCAATATCATTATATCTACATACAGGTGCATGAATTATGAATATTTTATACACATACATATCAATAATATTTATATCCATATTAAAAATATTATAAAATCAAATTTTAATGGAGTAATTTTTCTTCAAATTGAATGATTAAAATAATATTTTCAAAACACCTAATAAAACCATATTTTTCAAAAAAGAAAAGGGTTTTTTGCTGTTAATTTTAGTATTTAGTTTATAAATGATATTATCTAAACTTCATGTGCATTATTTTAAAAAAAATGTACATTATTTAAAAATATATATTTGAATTCAAGAGGAATTAATTTATCTCATGAATATTCTACGAGCATAATTTTTTTTTCAATTTTTCAAAATTAATTATTATTTTATTTAAATCGATGGAAGCATGCTTTTTACTTCTTTTCTTTTTTCTTTTTTTTATTGAAACTCGCTCTTAAAGTTATAATGATTTTTTATTAAAAAATTTATTTAGAAAAAAAGAAGTTCACATGGGATAGAAAATTAATTAGATATAAAATTTTGATGAAAAATTATAAAAGGACCTTGGTTTTTTTTTTTTGAATTATTGAATTCATTTTTTTGTTTCTAATTTAATAAAATAGAAATTAAAAAATAAAATAAATATTTTATTAATTACATATAAAACAAGACTTATTAATAATAATAAGTATTTACAATCCCTATTTTTTTAAGTGAGAAAAAACTTTCAGAAATCAATTTTAGAAAACGTATTATAAGTTAAGGAAGAGACTTAACAGATGGGCCATGAATTTTCTCTACGGGATGTCTTAGTCCAAATACAATGCCGAGGAAGGCATGTGGAATTTTCTTGGCCTTTGCATGATAATAATGGTACTATAGGGACCCAACTCTGTGTTAAAGTCAACTGATCCTTCCTTAATTTCCATGACACTTTCTTTCACAGCTTTCAAAGCATACTTCTCTCTCTAGTAGTCGATAATTCTTCTTTCATTTCCCAGAGAAAACTAGAGAAAATGGCAGCAGAGTTTCTTCTTACGTTTGCCTTGGAGGAGACACTGACAAGGGTGGGTTCCATTGCTGCTGAAGGGATCAGACTTGCTTGGGGATTGAACGGGCACTTGGAAAAGCTCAAAAAGTCTTTGACCATGACCAAAGCTGTGCTCCAAGATGCAGCTAGAAGGCCAGCAACAGACGAGTCTGTGAAGCTTTGGCTGGAGCAGCTTCAAGATCTAGCTTATGATGCGGAAGATGTTCTTGACGAGTTTGCTTATGAGACTCTTCGCAAAGACCAAATGAAAGGAAAGCAGGTACCAGGTTACTTCTTTTCGAAACACAACCCAGTTGCTTTCCGTTTTAATATGATTCAAAAAGTTAAGAGGATCAATGGAGCCCTCTATAAAATTCAGAAACTTGCAACTGGCTTCGGGCTTGGAATTGCATCTCTACAATATGTAGATAAAGCTCCTGAGATCAGCTTGGACCGAGAGACGGATTCCTCCCTTGACAGCTCAGAAATTGTAATAGGAAGGGAGGATGATGTCTTTGAAGTCATGGGATTGCTGAGTAGCTCGATTGATCAACAAGTTCTTTCTGTTGTTTCTATTGTGGGGATGGCAGGTCTTGGAAAGACTACTATAGCAAAAAAAGTTTGTGAAGAAGTAGAGGACATAAAACTTTTTGATTCAACTGTATGGGTTTGTGTTTCTAATGATTTTGATAAAGTTAGGATATTGGGAGAAATGCTGCAAACTCTTGATAAAACTACCGGTGGGTTAAAAAATCTAAGCGCGATTCTCAAAAACCTTAAAAAGGAGCTTGAAAAGAAAACATTTCTTCTTGTACTTGATGATGTGTGGAATCAAGATCATGATAACTGGGATAGTTTGAAGAAGCAACTGTTAAAAATCAATGGCAAGAATGGGAATGCTGTTGTTGTTACAACCCGCAGCAAGCAAGTAGCGGAGATGATGGAGTCTTCCCTTGATTACAGGTATGAACCAGAGAAGCTATCAGATGATCAATGTTGGTCCATTATCAACAATAAAGTGAGTGGGGGCAGAGGAGTATTGCTAAATTCAGACTTGGAAGCTATTGGAAAGGAGATTGCCATTAAATGTGGAGGGATACCATTAATTGCCGGTGTTTTAGGAGGAACTTTGCGCAAAAAGGAGACGCAGGAGTGGCAGTCAATTCTAAATAGTAAAATTTGGGATTCTGAGGATGGAGATAAAGCTTTGCGTATATTGAAATTAAGTTTTGATTACTTGTCATCACCATCATTGAAGAAATGTTTTGCGTACTGTTCCATTTTTCCTAAAGATTCTGACATTGAAAAGGAGCAGCTAATTCAACTGTGGATGAGTGAAGGTTTTCTTGGGCCATCTCATGGGAGGACGGAAGACATAGGTAACAAGTATTTCAACGACTTGCTTGCAAATTCATTTTTCCAAGATGTTCGAAGGAATGGGTATGAGATCGTAACAAGTTGCAAGATGCATGACCTTGTGCATGATCTTGCATTACTGGTTTCAAAATCAGAAACGTTAACTCTGGAGGCTGGTTCAGCTGTTGATGGTGCATCTCACACTCGTCATCTAAATCTCATTTCCTGTAGGAGTGCTGAATCAGCATTTTCAGCAATTGATGCAAGGAAATTGCACACTTTTTTCTCAATGATCGATGTACTAAATCAGTCTTTCAAATTCAGAAGTTTGAGAACTCTCAACTTGCAAGGTGCTGATATCACTGAGTTACCAGTTTCAGTTTGCAAGCTGAGACATTTGAGATATCTTGACATCTCAGATACTAACACCAGAGCATTGCCTGACTCCATCACAAGGCTCTGCCATTTGCAAACATTAAGATTCAGTGGTTGTTACCTTTTAGAAAAGCTTCCGAAGAAAATGAGAAGTCTAGTCAGCTTGAGACATCTTCATTTTAGTTTGGATATCCAAGTGCCAGCTGAGGTGAGATTCTTAACGTGCCTTCAAACATTGCCAATTTTTGTTGTGGGTTCTGATGGAGGCCATAAAATTGAAGAGTTGGGATGTTTGAATGAACTAAGAGGAAAATTGAAGATAGACAAGCTTGAGCATGTGAGAGACAAAGAAGAAGCTGAGAAGGCAAAACTGAACGAGAAAAAAATGAAGGAATTGGTATTTGTATGGAATTCAGGAATAGATAGCAGCTGCAATGTTAACGATGAGGATGTGTTGGATGGTCTCCAGCCTCACCCAGACATAAGAAGCTTGAGGATTGAGCATTACAGGGCCGAAAATTTCCCATCATGGATGTCAACATCGCCACTCAATAGTTTGATGACGCTGACATTGGAAGATTGCAGCAAGTGCAGACAACTCCCAACACTTGGATGTCTCCTTCGCCTTAAAATTCTAGCGATAAGAAGAATGGAAAGTGTGAAGTGTATAGGCAGTGAATTTTATGGTAGCAATTGCAGTGCGAAAGTAGTGTTTGCAGCATTAAAAGAATTCACTCTGGAGGATATGGATGGGCTTGAAGAATGGATGGTACCAGGAGGAGAAGTCGATCAAGTATTTCCTTGTCTCGAAAAGTTGGACATCACGAGTTGTTTTAAGTTGAAAAGCATTCCGATAAGTCATCTTTCATCTGTTGTAGAGTTTAATATCTCTGATTGTGATGAAATGTGTTATTTATCTGGAGAATTTCAAGGCTTCAAATCACTTCGACATTTGACCATATCACATTGCTCAAAGTTGGCATCCATTCCAAGCATAGAACAGTGCACAGCTCTGGTGGAATTGAACATTTTGGAGTGCCCGGAGTTGATCTCAATCCCAGGTGATTTTGGAGATTTGCAGTGTCCTCTGGAGAGATTGATAATTGATTGTTGTGAATTAATAGCTCTTCCAAGTTGGCTCCGATCCTGCACATATCTTGTTGAATTACATATTTTCAACTGTCAGAGTTTGACTTATTTTCCAGAGGATTGCTTCCGCTGCCTCACCCAACTGAAGAAATTAAGAATTGGTGGTTTCTCGGAGGAGCTGGAGGCTTTTCCTACAGGAGCTATGAATTCAATCCAACTCTACTTGAGTGGTTCCCTTGAAATCCTATGGATATGTGGATGGGATAAACTGAAGTGTGTACCTCATCAGCTTCAACACCTCACTGCCCTTAAGGAATTGTCTATAAATGAATTCAATGGAGAGGAATTCGAGGAAGCTTTGCCAGACTGGTTGGGCAACCTTTCATCCCTTCAAGATCTTTCCATCTCCCGTTGCAAGAATCTCAAGTATCTACCAAGTTCAACAGACATGCAACGTCTCTCCAAATTAAAGAAGTTGGGGATTTATGATTGCTTGCTTCTTTCAAAAAATTGTAGGAAGGACAATGGCTCTGAGTGGCCCAAGATTTCTCATATCCCATCATTCATTGTAGATTACAGACGTGTCTAAGGAAAGGTAATTTTGAATTAATTTTTCAAATCTCTCTCTCAACTCGTCATCTTCATTCTTTTCTTCTTTTCTAAATAGCAGAGCTTAATATGGACATGGATGTGAACTCTTACATGCATGCAATGGAACTTGTATATTAGATTGTGATTTTTTTATCTGATGGTAATGTTTTTGGGCAGGAAGGAGAGGTTCAAAGCTGGAGTTTACCTTAGCTAGAACTTGCGATGCACTTGTGTTGCTGCTGATATCAAGAATTGACAGCAATTTCTTATGATCCCATCATGCTTCTTCCTGATAATTAGTGTGCTTTATATCCCTCGTCTCTCTGAGGTATTCATCATCCATGCTTTGTAAATCTTTTTGACAGTTTGTGATTTGTATTTCTAAGAGTAGAAAAAATGCATTTCGTCAAATCCTGACTACATTCAATTTTCCCAGGACAAAGATTCCATCAAGATCTTTCTACATTGCCAATATGAGCAAAGGAATCATCACGGATGCCTGGAACTGAGAAAGAAGATTCAACTGCAGGAAATGACATAGATGGCAAAATGCAAAATCAGCAGAAGAGAGACGAAGTTTAGCAAGAGCTTAATTGGTTGGATAATATCATGTACTGTACGTTGACCGTAGATTAGTATTTCGAGCTTTTTTTTTTAATTTAAAGTATCATAATTATTTTTTAGTTTTTCATAAGTCTTTAATCTCATTGATTAAATTTCTAACACATGTAACAGGCACTTAAGGATGAATTGATTGAACTATTTTTGAACTTATTTTCCCTCCTCGGCTTTTTTTTCCCCTCCTTTCCTCCCTCTCCTCTCCCACCCTTAATTTTTCCCTCCAAAACACACAAACATACCTACTAAAGTAAACAAAGAAAAACACTTTACCCTTCTTTCTCCATGCCCGAACGTTAAAAAATCACCAAAGTTAGTTACTCTAGCTTCTTCTTCCTGTTTAATTTTTTTTTTTTTTAATAGAAGCTCAGAATAGTCAATCCCAAGTTCACAAACAAGATCGATCATTTACTATCCATCGTATTGGATTGGCAAACCAGCATCAAGCAGCCCAACAGAATTTGTAAATGAACTTTGAGAACAAGGTAACTTCTGCTCCTGCAATGCTTGGCTTGGCCAATTTACCATTTACAAGGCCTGCTGACAAGTGGTTTAACTCTGGCCCGAAGCCAAATGTTAGCCTGGATGGAAACTTGAAGATTCACCTGATGATTCGCAGAAGTCGGCAGAAAATTTAAAAAGTGAAATGGAACATTCTGGCCATTCTGGAAATTGTGATAAGGATGAAGAGGGAAGACTAAATTTACCACAAGCTATTGCTCAGCAGAATCCACAAGAATTTCTGAATTTTCAGCAAGATTCCTGTCCAGAGCTTCAATCCTCAACGCTTTCCATGGTCAAGAGGGATCCACAAACAACCCCTACACAACAGTTAGATGAAGTAAATGATGTGAGCATGACACAAAGAGTAGAGCATGAAACATCACAAAATCAGAGACCTGAAGTGAACTTGAAATTTAGACAAGCGACAGCTGTTCAAACAGGAGTTCCTCAGCGTGAATCAGTTAGCCAGCATCAGCATCTGAAAACTGGAGTTCCATTTGAATTTCAGGCAGCACCTGTCCAATTACCTCAACATCTTCCTCTGGGCAACCATGATAGTCTGCTGCAGTCGCATACAAAAGTTGGATCCTCTTCTCATTCTGTAAATTCGCTGCCTGGGTTTTCTGCTAATTTCCTTTCTAATGATTCTTCATACTTGAACACTGGCATTAAGCTAGAAATATAAGATAACCTTATTGTGAGAGCACACTAAGATGACTATAGTCTTTCTTAGTTGTGTAAACAATCGTCTTACTTAGAACTCTTAAGAACAATACTAGATTTTTCATACTTTTCACCTTTTAAAAAAATAAATGATGACTCCACACATGCATTTCTATTTTTATGATTACTGAAGGTTATCGTTTGACATTACATAACAATAGTTGAATTTATTAAAAAAAATTAATAATACTTTTAATAGTTTAATATCACATAAAAATAATAACATACGTTATCAATTCAAAACATACATTTTTTTAAAAAAATAGCAGTCGTTCTTTTATGTGACAATCCTACTTCAAACTATGGATAGAATCGACCTACAACCATGATTTAGCCTGATGAGTCTTTGTTACCCAAGAAAACAGCAGCGAAATCCTCCACTCAGTTATCGTACCTGATTCTGTTTTCAGTTCTGTTCCTTAATTACTAGTGATTGTACTTTAATTGGATCCAAACCTGAGCTCAATTAACTAGAGTAGAATGGTCTGAGACTGCGAATAACACTAGCAATCTAGCACAGAATGAACTGAGGAAGGACTACCATGGAAATTTTGATGAACGCAAAAAAAAGCCTTCCCGTTTCCTTAAGCTTTTTAGGGGAAATGTTCTTTTTTATTGAACCATTTCAGGCCTTAAATCCCCTTCAAAAAGACCACAAAAACCTGCACTTTCCAGATAAACATGTATCAGACAGAACAAACTAGGCTTTTGAGCATCTCTCCCTCCCTCAAGAGACCGAGAAAGACGGGCCTTTTTTATTTGGAAACAATGTGTACACTCTCATCACAGTTTTCTGTACAAAGTACCAGCTAGCCCTTTCTACTACGCCTACTAAATCTGGCAGGACTAAACCGAGTGAGATCAACAATGCTAGATTGCCCATCTACTATAAGCTCAGCCATTGCAGCCCCAGTGGCAGGACCATTTAAAATACCCCAGCAATTGTGCCCAGTGGCAACATAACAACCCCTCACCCCTGGAATCTCCCCAATAACAGGAATACTATCATCAGTGCATGGCAAGAAGCATGCTTGCTCTGCCTTCAATCGTGCCTCTCCCTCTGCCAAATGGCTGGACACAGTCCTGGCTACTCTCTTTAGCACCTGTAATGATTCTGGATCGCCCACTATCTGTTCTGGATCCTCTGGCACCTCAACCTCCAACAACATTCAGCACAAGTACACCTCACCTATCAATCAAGTTCTTGATTTAATAGTTGATGACTTTTGCAAACAGGAAACTTGGTGCTATGCCTTAATTTGCAACATCTTGAAAATATTCATACAAACACCATTTTAGGTGGATTCTTGAGGGCTAGCAAACTAGAAATTGATATTGTTTAATTAATTAGATATTACTGAATAAGTTAAAATAATTAGCTGATAATGCAACTGCTAACCTTAATTCGTTTGATTATATTAACTTAACATTTGTCAAGGCTATGGCTACTTAACTTCCAAGTTAATCAACTATTTCATTTGTTACTACAACCATATTTCCATCTAATAAAGCCATTACTGCTTCTTTAGACCATGCTAAGCAGCATTATAACATAGTTATGCTTCCATCAGATGAGAAAACTTCACAAAATATTGAAATGCAATAAATAAATAAAAATTACCTTTGGGCCGTGGATACACTTAAGGGCCAATGGGCCTGCCACCTTGGGCCGGATGATAACTCAGAGAAAGAGCATGAGGCGTTATTGCATCAGGCTCTTTAGGCTCCAAAACAATACTATGGGCTCTAACCCCATAAACTCTAAACAAAGACAATATTCCATTATTTTATTTTCAAATTTCCAAAATTAATTATTATTTTATTTAAATCAATTTGAAGCACGATTTTAGTTTTTTGATTGAAAACTGCTCTCGAAATTATAATAATTTTTTATTCAAAAATTTTATTTATTTTTAAAAAAGGAAATTCATATGGAAAAGCAAAAATTAGAGTGATATAAAATTTTGATGGAAAATTATAAAATTACTTAGAATTGTTTTTTGAATTGTTGAGTTCATTTTTTATTTTTTAATTTAATAAACTAGAATTTTAAAAACCCAAATAAATATGTTATTGATTACATGCAAAGCAAGACTTATTATTAATAATTAGTATTTTAAAATTATCATTTTTAAAATAAAAAATGGAGAAATCAATTTCAGAAAACATATAATGAGTTAAGAAATTTTATTTGTTAATTGTTTTTCAGCTCTTTGATATAATCAACTCTTTAATATATTATGATTTATGGTTTAATATGCAATGCATCTGTTTTATTTCAGAAAACATACTAATGTTGGTCGAACTTATTTTAGTTGAACACGCAACTAATTAAGCAAGTGGATTCTTATTTATTTTTTTATTATTTTTTTTTTGTTGAATAGGCAAGTGAATTTTTTTATAGTAACTAATCCTTACTTTCACCGACCCTTTCTTTCACAACTTTCGAAGCATACCTCTCTCTTTCTCTGCTGCTCAATAACTCTTCTTCCATTTCCCAAACAAAACAAGAGAAAATGGCAGCAGAGTTTCTTCTTACGTTTGCCTTGGAGGAGACATTGACAAGGGTGGGTTCCATTGCTGCTGAAGGGATCCGTCTTGCTTGGGGATTGAAGGGGCACCTGCAAAAGCTCAACGAGTCGTTGATCATGATCAAAGCTGTGCTCCAAGATGCAGCCAGAAGGCCAGGGACAGACGAGTCTGTGAAGCTTTGGGTGGAGAAACTTCAAGACCTAGCTTATGATGCTGAAGATGTTCTCGACGAGTTTGCTTATGAGATTCTTCGGAAAGACCAAATCAAGCGAAAGCAGGTACGTGACTTCGTTTCGAAACACAATCCTGTTGCTTTCCGTTTGAATATGGGTCAAAAAATTAAGAGGATCAATGAAGACCTCGATGAAATCCAGAAACTTGCAACTGGCTTTGGGCTTACGTCTGTACAATATATAGATAGAGCTCCTGAGATCAGCTTGGACCGAGAGACAGACTCCTTCCTTGACAGCTCAGGAGTTGTAATAGGAAGGGAGGATGATGTATCTAAAGTCTTGAAATTGCTGATTAGCTCGATTGATCAACAATTTCTTTCAGTTGTCCCTATTGTGGGGATGGCAGGCCTTGGAAAGACTACTATAGCAAAAAAAGTCTGTGAAGAAGTAAAGGGTAGAAAACTTTTCGATGCAACAGTATGGGTTTGTGGTTCTAATGAGTTTGATAAAGTTAGGATTTTGGGAGAAATGCTGCAAACTCTTGATAAAACTACCGGTGGGTTAAACAATCTAAATGCAATTCATGAAAACCTGAGGAAGGAGCTTGACAAGAAAACATTTCTTCTTGTACTTGATGATGTGTGGAATGAAGAGCCTGACAAGTCGGATAACTTGAAGGAGCAACTGTTAAAAATCAATAGCAAAAATGGGAATGCTGTTGTTGTTACAACTCGCAAGAAGCAAGTCGCGAGGGTAATGGAGTCTTCTTTTGATTGTTGGCATGAACCTGGGAAGCTATCAGATGATCAATGTTGGTCCATTATCAAGAAGAAAGTGGGTGGGAGCGGAGGAGTGTTGATAAATTCAAACTTGGAAGCTATTGGAAAGGAGATTGCAAGGAAATGTGGAGGGATACCATTAATTGCCACTGTTTTAGGAGGAACGTTGCGCAAAACGGAGACACAAGAATGGCAGTCAATTCTAAATAGTAAAATTTGGGATTCTGAGGATGGAAGTAAAGCTTTGCGTATATTGAAATTAAGTTTTGATTACTTGTCATCGCCGTCATTGAAGAAATGTTTTGCATACTGTTCCATTTTTCCTAAAGATTTTGACATTGAAAAGGAGCAGCTAATTCAACTGTGGATGAGCGAAGGTTTTCTTGGGCCATCACATGGGAGGATGGAAGACACTGGTAACAACTATTTCAATGACTTGCTTGCAAATTCCTTTTTCCAAGATGTTGAAAGGAATAGGTATGAGATCATAACAAGTTGCAAGATGCATGATCTTGTGCATGATCTTGCATTACTGGTTTCAAAATCAGAAACGGTAACTCTGGAGGCTGGTTCAGCTGTAGATGGTGCATCTCACACCCGTCATCTAAATCTCATTTCATGTGGGAGTGTTCAATCAGCATTTTCAGCAATTGATGCAAGAAAATTGCACACTTTTTTTTCAATGATCGATGTACTAAATCAGTCTTTTGAATTCAGAAGCTTGAGAACTCTCAACTTGCAAGGTGCTGATATCACTGAGCTACCAGATTCAATTTGCAAACTGAGGCATTTAAGATATTTTGATGTCTCAGATACTGAAATCAGAGCTTTACCGGAATCCATCACAAAGCTCTACCTTTTGCAAACATTAAGATTCAGTGGTTGTAACTTGGTGGAAAAGCTTCCGAAGAAAATGAGAAATCTAGTCAGATTGAGACATCTTCACTTTAGTTTTGATTTCCAATTGCCAGCTGAGGTGAGATTCTTAACGTGCCTTCAAACATTGCCAATTTTTGTAGTGGGTTCAGATGGAGGCCATAAAATTGAAGAGTTGGGATGTTTGAATGAACTAAGGGGAAAGCTGAAGATAAACAAGCTTGAGCATGTGAGAGACAAAGAAGAAGCTGAGAAGGCAAAACTGCACGAGAAAAAAATGAAGGAATTGGGATTTGTATGGAATTCAGGGATAGAAAGTGGGTGCAATGTTAATGATGAGGATGTTTTGGATGGTCTCCAGCCTCACCCAGACATAAGAAGCTTGAGGATTGAGGGTTACAGGGGTGAAAATGTCCCTTCGTGGATGTCTATACTGCCACTCAATAATTTAAAGATGCTGACATTAGAAGATTGCGGCAATTGCAGACAACTACCAACACTTGGAGGTCTCTCTCACCTTAAAATTCTAGCGATAAGAAGAATGGTTAGTGTGAAATGTATAGGCAATGAGTTTTATGGTAGCAATAGCAGTGGAACTGTACTTTTTCCAGCATTAAAAGAATTCACTCTGGAGGGTATGGATGGTCTTGAAGAATGGATGGCACCAGGAGGAGAAGGTGATCAAGTATTTCCTTGTCTTGAAAAGTTGAACATCGAGAGGTGTGTTATGTTGAAAAGCATTCCGACAAGTCATCTTTCATCTCTTGAGTTTTATGTCTATGATTGTTATAGAATTTGTTATTTATCGGGAGAACTTCATGGCTTCAAATCTCTTAGATATTTGAGAATATCAAAATGTTCAAAGCTGGCATCCATTCCAAGCATACAACACTGCACAGCTCTGATGGAATTGAATATTTGGTACTGCCCGAAGTTGATCTCATTTCCGGGTGATTTTCGAGAATTGCAGTGTCCTTTGGAGATATTGAGAATTTTTAATTGTGGATTGAGAGCTCTTCCAAGCTGGCTACGATCCTGCACATCTCTTGTTGAATTAGCCATCGCTAACTGTCATAGTTTGACTTATTTCCCAGAGGATAGCTTAAGCTGCCCCACCCAATTGAAGAAATTGATAATTCATTGTTGTGGATTAAGAGCTCTTCCAAGTTGGCCACCATCCTGCACATCTCTTGTTGAATTAGAAATCACTAGCTGTCAAAGTTTGAGTTATTTCCCAGAGGATTGGTTTGGCTGTCTCACCCAATTGAAGGATTTGAGAATTGGTGGTTTCTCAAAGGAGCTGGAGGCTTTTCCTGCAGGAACTATGAATTCAATCCAACACTACTTGAGTCGGTCCCTTGAAATCCTGCACATAATTGGATGGAATAAACTGAAGAGTGTACCAAATCAACTTCAACACCTCACTGCCCTTAAATAACTGTATATACATGACTTCAATGGAGAGGAATTTGAGGAAGCTTTGCCAGACTGGTTGGGCAACCTTTCATCTCTTCAATATCTTTTTATCTCCCGTTGCAAGAATGTCAAGTATCTACCAAGTTCAACAGCCATGCACCGCCTCTCCAAATTAAATAAGTTAGAGATTTTTCATTGTCTGCATCTTTCAGAAAACTGTAGGAAGGACAATGGCCCTGAGTGGCCCAAGATTTCTCGTATCCCAACAATCATGACAGATGCCGGATATGTACAAAATATGGAAAGTTTGAATTAATTTTTGAAATCTCTCTCTCAACTCATCATCTTTGTCTCCTCTGCTTCTTTAGTTTTCATTTCTTCCTAAATGCTAATTTAATTTATTTTCATTTCTTCTTTCTATGCAGGAAATGAATTAAATAGGTACAGAATCTGAAACAGGAAAGGACTATGTTATGTGGAAGCCATTTTTGGTATATTTCAATTCCTTTCATTTCTAACTTCTTTATATCCATTGATGCTCCTCTTCTTTTTTCTTTTCTTTAATAAATTTGAACAATTTAATTCAACTTTTGAAGTTTTAAGCTTGATTTTAGGTACATTTTTTAATACTTAAATTATTTTATGATAGGGCAGTGACTGACCACCCTAAGCATTAGAGCATAACAGTGTTATGAGCAAGTCCGAAGCATACTGTTCCTGTCAAAGGCAGTGGTGGCTGTGTTGATGGCAGATGTGGTGGCAGAGGAGGTGGCTGAGGACATAAAACATGTAATAAACTCAGAGGAGCTGGAGGCTTTTCCTGCTGGAGCTATGGATTCAATCCAACACTACTTGAGTAGGTCCCTCGAAATCCTGCACGTACTTGGATGGAATAAACTGAAGAGTGTACCAAATGAACTTCAACACCTCACCGCCCTTAAGGAATTGTATATGTGTGACTTCAAGGGAGAGGAATTTGCGGAAGCTTTGCCAGATTGGTTGGGCAACCTTTCATCTCTTCAGTGTCTTCGTATCGATTATTGCAAGAATCTAAAGTATCTATCAAGTTCAACAGCCATGCTAAGCCTCTCCAAATTAGATATTTATACATGTCGGCATCTTTCAGAAAATTGTAGAAAGGACGATGGTCATGAGTGGCCCAAGATTTCTCATATCCCACAAATCAGAATAGATAACAAATGAGTACAAAAAGGTAAGTTTCTGAAATCTCTCTCTCAACTCATCATCTTGACTCCTCTGCTTTTTTGTTTTTTCTTTCCTTCCTAAATAGTAATTTAATTTATTTTTCATTTCTTCTTTCTTTGCAGAATTGGAAATTAATTAAATAGGTGCAGAATCTGAAACTTGAAATGACTGTGTTATGTGGAAGCGATTTTAGGTATATTCCAAACTTCTTTATTTCCATTGATTTAATCTTTTCTTTTTAGTAACTTTGAACGATTTAATTAACCTTTGAAGTTTTAATCTTTTCTTTTCAATTCTGGTGTTTTTTTTTTTTTTAATTTCCTATCAACTCCATAACTAGAACGATTGCTAGTTCACTTTAAGTATTTCTCTTTGGTTTATTCTGGCATTCTTTTATGTACTCTACTTCTTGATCAGCTTATGACTTTGAAGATACAAATGTCCAAGAAGATGAATAGCCCTTGAGATCTTACACCGAAAATATGCCAAAATTGGTCTGGAAGGAGCTGGGTGTTCTACCTGGCTTTAAGACTACCAGTTGGAGAGGTAATTGGGGAATCATTGGTTTATGAGACGTACAAATCTGTACATCTCTTACATATTATTTGCCAACCTTTTGTCTCAAACATCCATGCAAAGCCTGTAATGATCAGTGCAGTGGTTAATTGTTCCAGAAGAATGTAGTGATTTTGGGGATAACGAAAATCTGAACTTGAGTTATCTTGTGTTATCATAATTACTATGTTGTTAATTATCCTTTCTATGTTGTCGTAGTATTACTGGAGGAAAGAATGGACATCAGATGCACCGACTTCTCTATTTGTGATTTTGAGGATGTTGTTTATGCGACTGCTTTTTTGTTTTGTTTTTCTGTTACGAGGACGAACTTTGCATACGCGGCTTAACATCAGATACCTAGAATGACAGGTTTTGTTTGTCAGCAGATTATTCCTCAAGCAGTTCGTTCAAGGTATTGTCTGAGCATTGGTGTGAGACTGTCTGTTGTAGGTTGATAGTTACCGTCCTCATTCCTATCGCTTACTAGTGAGTAAGGTAAGTTAGATTATTGTCAGCTTGTTTTTTATGAATTACAAAAAGGTTTATTAAGGATCTCTGATCAAAATTCCTTGATGGTAGCTTCAGGATTGGTTCCTTGGAGAAGAGCATTCTGCAGTCTGCACTTTTACTGGAGGAAGATCTGAAGGCTTTGGGAGACATGCATGGAAATGAAAAATATGACATTTCAGGAAATGACAGTGATAGAAATCTTGATGTTATATCTTAGACAGGGAAGGGTGAAGAGTTGACAGAATATGAAACCCCAACTATTATCTCTGCAAAAAATATACAATAAGTCGGCCTTTACACATGTACAATCTCCAGAATTTCTACACTTTTGTTTCATTTTGCTAGCAGAGACTTTTTCCATTGCAAAACTAATGAATCCAAAAGAAGAAGATTAATATCAGTCATTCTGCTATTGAAGCTGTATCTTGCATTGCTGATTTATTTCATATACGTACAAGATGGTTCTGCTATTGAATGTCTAAAATTTAAAATTGTGCTTTTCTATTTAATTGTTGATTATAGATGTTTTCATTTTCCATATATATATATATATATATATATATATAAGAATTTTTTTTTTTTTTTACTTGATTGAGATATGATAGTTTTCGAGATTTGTTATTTCTAATTATTCGGTGTGATATTATCTATTTTTCATTTGATATAACATATTACAGATAACCTATTAGTGATTGACACGTAACCATCTCAAAAAAATAGTTTTTCTATCTAAATATAAAATAATTATAATAATAAAATAATACATACTATTAAAAAATAAGAGGGAAAAAAAACCAAATCTCCCCTTTCAAAATCACTGGTAAAAGCCCTCATTCTTCAGCAGCTTCCATTCACTACAGAAAAGGGACAAAATTTCAGCTTCCCGCCTCCCAAATGCAAGAAAAAGAAACCCTTTTGTGAGAAATCCGGTGATCATCATCCAAAAAAAAATTCTAAAAAATGGTGAAATCCAAGAAGGTAGAAGCTACTAATTCTAACAGAGAAAACCCAGACGGGTTAGACAGAAAAAGATTGAGAAAGCTTGCAAGAACCAACAACGTAGGAAAAATCAAAGAAAAAACAGGTTCTTGTTTTTATTTCCTGGTCTTCTTACTCCTATTAATGGCGGTGGCAAGGTTGGCGAGCTCAAAAAACTTGTCCTCTACCTCGATTTTCTCAGGTTTGAACTTTCATGGGTTTTGATTCTTTTTGAATTTTGATTTGTGGGTCATTGTGTTCTAGATTTTGATGGTAATGGTGAAATAGTGTTGGTGAATGAATGACATGTCGCTTTTTTTTTTTTTGTGTTTTATAGAGTTACATATTTGATCTTTTCCTCTTATTTTTTTAATTTTATTATTAAAATTATTTTAAAAGTACAGGTAACTGGTTCTGCAGAGTTTTTTTTCACAATAAAGTATTTTTAAATCTTATTTTTTATAATAAGATAGTTTTAAACTTATTTAAACCAAATTAACACATAGTTAGACCATAGTTAGACCAATCCTCCCTGCAGACCAATCCTCTCTGCAAACTGCATGTATGGCATCAATTTTCCCTGCATGAATCTATCTCATAATTCTGGAGTTGTGGTTTTGCAATGAATCCACAAATATAACCAGATAACGAGTTGTGAACCATTTTACAATACATAAGCATCTGATGTGTTAAATAATGCAAGAATTGACAGCCAAACAAAGCAAGCAGATGCACGAACATAAAATAGAGAAGAACATGAGCAAGAATCCTAACGTGAGAGTAAGCACTCAGATGCTTTTTTTCTCAGTAATTCAGAAGGCAATTAGTAAAGGGCAGGTGTTATGGAAGTCTGATCACTGGCTTATAACAATTAAGGTAAAATCTATGTATCACAGACATTAACTCTCTCTCTTTTTTTTTCTTGTTTTCACTTGCTTCATAGAGTTCCACTAGTTCTTGGTTTTGATTCCATAAACAATCACTTCTCTACTTTATCAATTTTGATTTGGACAGAAACAGTCATGATAATAGATAGCATATGCTAAAGCAAGAGCAATAGAAAGGTTGTTGGAGTTGAACTTAAGGTCGGCTCAAGTTTGTTCGAACCATATCCCACATTGGATACACAGGAGAAGAGACAAGGGACTGTGCCTATAAATACAAAGCTCGAAACTACTTAGAACATACTTACCTGGACGGGGTGAATGGGCGATCAAGAAGATCTATGGCCTAGGTCAGTGACATCCATTGCACTGAGGATGGGTGCTGGCTTAAGGTCTCCCCAAGTTGGGAGAGCCTACGTCAAAATTTGTGGCAGAGGGGGCTGCGCAAGTCGCGGCCCCTACCCAATTCAAGTTCCAATTTTTATCAAATGAAAACAAGACTTAAAGATTTCATATGCTTCATCGGATAAAAACAGTCGTATTAAAAGAATGTTGGAATGTTCTGAAAATATTACAGTAGAAGCCTGCAAGAAAAAGGGTGAGAACATAACTAGACCTGATTGTCTTTTGAGACCAAGATGACATGAAAAGTACAAGTAACAGCAGCCAATTATTTTCGGTAACATCTTTCTTGATCATGTCCTTGCCCTCCATTTCTTTCCGAAATATCTGCAAGTTCAGAAATTTAGAGTATTGATAAAAAAAATGATGGAACAATGTGAGCATAATTGAAGAACAATAGTTCTAAATTACTATTCTTAATTTCTTGCTTTCAAAATTCGTGTCATCAACAGAGTATAAAACAGAGTAAACCCTCAAAATTTTAGTGTCCATTTGAGCGAAATCAAGCTCCATTAGGAAAATAAGCATTAAGCAAAGCAATATCCCTGCTTTTTTTAACAAAGTCAGATTACTAACAAGTCTCACAAAATCGGCCAATGAGGCATTCATTGGTCTAGGAGTTGCAGACATAAAACTAAGATCCTGAATGAGTCCATGTTCCTATCCCCGAATAACCAACAAAAAATGATCCTTTGAAGTCCATTACTGTGTTCAAGAACTGGGACTGGAAATGCTTCACAATCTTTCATATTGGCCTTCCAAAAACACAGCACTAATTAGCTCAAATCACCCAGAAACAACAATTGTATTGAAGAAGACTAATCTCTATATAAGTTCTGACACTTGATTGAACAATTGCAAATTAACTATTCAATGATCGGTGCAAGGATGATATTACTAAGAGTTTTTGTCTAATATTTGATTGAAAAGAGGCCATTGATTATTCAATGATAAGTACAAGGGATGCATACAATCGACCATTTCTTAACCAATACCAAACGATCATGTAAAAAAAGCCTTTTCTTTTTTTCTTAGAACACAGAGAAAGACAAATATCAACTCCTGAAAATCTGTAACATTGATCAGACATAATTTATCTCTGAGAGCACAGAGAAGTTGGATATGTAAACCAAAACATCCCTAAGAGTCCATAGATGGGAAAATCTGTTGGTGTTCATAACACTAGTTTTGAACACTGATCAGACATACTTTAATTCTGTTAGTAGTTTAATGTTCGGGAAATCATTCTTACTGATCTTGCATTTCCTACTCAAGTTATTGGTTTCTTCATGAAATGATCGGATGATTACAAGATATCCCACATCACAAAAAGAGGGAAATGAACTGTCAGCAAGTGTTTATATAAACCGAAGCAAACAGCTTTTCAAAAAACGCAGCCGCGCGGTGTGCACAGAGCGAACTATTCTTTCGCCTTTTACTAAAGAATACCGTGTGCCCGCCACAAAGAGCGGCATACGCCTATTTTTGGAGGGATCTCTTCGTTTGGAGGAGATCCCACACAACTCTAGTTCAAGTTTTTTTTAGCAAAAAGCTGAAAGTTTGCCAGTTATTATCATTATACATAAAAATAAAATAAAATGGATTATTTATTTATTGTTTGAAACATTGTATTCAGATGTATTATTTTTTTCATTATGTATTGATATTTTTATAGTTTTCATTCTTTGTAATATGACATTTTGTTCCTGCAACAATACTGGTAACCATACCTGCAAAAAGTCCTATGTTCTTACTGGATAGCTCTCTTATTTCGTGTTTCTTTGCTTTCCAAATGGCAAATTTGGACGAAAACATCCACGAAATCACAAGGAGAACAGCAAATCTAAATTTTTAAGAAAAGAAGATTCAACTGCAGGAAATGACATAGCAAAAAGCTACACATAGGGATGGCAATGAACATAGTTTTTCATCCTATCCATAAAAAAAATAATAATAATAATAATTCTTAATTATTAAGAATTATTCTTTAAACTCATACTGGATTGGAATTCGATGTACCCGTCCATTTAATTTCGTAGAAATAATTTGTCAAAACGTTTCATTTTAGTTTGTATAATTTTTTTTAAAAAAATATTTTGGAGCTTAATATTTTTTCATAATTTGGTTCTTTATTTATAAGGGTTTTTTTTTTAACATAAAAAAAACTATATGATCTCTATTTTATAAAGTTTACACAATCAAAACCCCCACACATTAAATTTTATTTTTTCAAAAAACATTAGTAATTCTTGTGTGAACTTAAGCCCAAAATGTATTTTACTTTGTCAGAATTTAGAAGCCAAGTTATCGACTTAAGGACGGGAGGTAGGATAAATCATTGTGTAGTTTCACTGACTAACATTGGACAGGTTTTTCTGTCCCTATCTGGCGCTGGCCAACGCTAATATAAAACTTAAAACAGAAGCCAAAAAGAAAACAAGAACAAGAAAATTTTCTTTGTCCTTTAATTGGACTATCAAATGGATCAAGCCGCATAATAAGGCTATTATATTGAATAAATCTCACAGCTTTAATATTTCTAGATTTTTTAACATAAGTAATATTAATATTATTACAAAATAATATCATAAAATAATTTTTTTAAATGATAAGAAACCAAACCGAATGGTCGCTAGACAATGATAGAAATACCCCTTAAATTACCAAAATTCCCCATGGGAGCAAGATTACCAAAATGCCTATGTATGTCAAAATTAAGAAATTGCCTTTCGGAACCCTAACGCCGCTACCACCATCGACGAGTTGTTGTCCGGTGAGCCCTTGGTGCTTGACTAGTCCGCGAAGGAGCGTCGGGGCCTACTCACTCATCTGGAGTAGGCGGTGTTGGTCATGGATTCCAAAGGAGGGAGATCGACATCGTCGACGGTTGGCATTTTCCTCTCCTTCTTTGATCGTGATTCCAACCATGCCGAGGGCTAGGAAGGATACAAAT